TTCGTCTTTTTTGACAAATTTTACGAAATGATCAATCTTTGAACCTTTTTTTCCAGATTGTACGTTTTTTATAAGTCGCCTAGTTTTGTGAAATCATTTCACAATCATTGTGGCTGTTGCTGTCTTGTTTACGAAATTCACATGATTTTCCAACTTTTCACGATCACGCACAGCTCTATCCCAAAAGTTCCCCCACAAATAATACCGTAAGCTTGTGTGTGTGTAAAACTTAGCAGCCGTCATTTAAATGCCACGCTGATTTAGTTAACACTTTTAATGCGCTTGATGATACCGGTTTTTATATTTATGAGCTGCGTGTCACAAATGAATTTTCGTAAATGTTAATAAGCCGACAGTAAATAAAGTCAACCCCAAGCTGCTGTCAAAGCTTACAACATGCAATGCATTTATTTACACACACAAAAACACACGCAGGCATGTCAGCCAACCACTGAGAAGAATAAACATGCACACACACACACATACGCACACACACACAACCCGTTGCTATTCTCAGTGAATGGTGAAAAAGATGCGCTTTAATTAAAATTTAATTAAAAACAACAGCACAAAATTGGCCATTCGCAATTTTACGTTGACGTTTACGTTGCGTCGCCCGTTGATGTTAACGGTAATTGAATTAAAGTTTCACAACACTGCAATGCATTACAGATACTTGCGCTCTCACCCTTGCTCCCACTCTGTCTCATGCACACTTACACTGAACTTTGGCACCCATGCTGTGTCTCTTGTTATTGTTGTTGTTATTGTTATTGCGGGCGCTGCGCTTTTGAATTAAGTTGCCAGGCCAACTGAACCTTTTTTTTATTAGCCGAATGGCTTTAACGTGAAAAGACGCCCCGCCACGAGCACCTCTTTTGTGAATTGTTCTTAATTTGAATAGCCAAGTCGGACGACTGCTGAAGAGAATACGTTTTGCTGGTTCATTATTATTTGTAAATATTCTAAACTGGTTTTCAATTTATTCCTAAAATCATACAACACATGCATATATGGATGAAGTATGTAGCCGAAATTGAAGCTCTAAGCTAGAATTTTTTTGAATTGGGGTCATTAAAAACGACTTCGTATGGTTTGATCGAAAGTGGAAATAATATGGTGGAAGAATATATTAAAGCACTTCAAACGTAACTTTATTGCAGCTCAACTATTTCATAATGGCAAAAAAATATCAATTAATATATTAATGGAATAATGATATTTGCTTTAAATGAAGCTGGCAAAAAACATATAATGCAGAGGAAAAGCGGAAAGTTAACCTTTTGACTAATACAATCAGTTACAACAAAAGCTAACTGGTTTTAAAAAGTAACTGCTTGCCAATTTTAAGTGTTCATTGCCCAGATTTATGCATGCGCGCTGCTTGAATTATAACATCTATAATAAAACATCTATAGTAATATAATATAGCTTGCTAGAACTAGTTAGCTAATAGAAAGGTCTAACTTCACATCTATTTGGCAGTGTTGTGTGTGTTCCCAAAATTTAAAATAGTAGACATTGTGAGCTAGTCGGAGCTCTTATCACATAATCCTTATTGCGTAAGTTTTCTTAGGTTTTGATGGTTGTCAGCAAATGTTGTAGGCAAAATTTCCTCATCAATCATTTCATTACTTCTTCATGTTTAAAGTCGACTTAGATAAATTTGTAGACTACCTTTTGTTAATTTTTGTGAAACAAAGCAATTAATGAAAAGCTTTTTTCTCAAATCGCACAAAATCAATCGCTTCAATTACAACGAGTATCATTATGCAATTGGCCTTAATTCAAGTGGATTTACGCATTAACTTTGATAGGCAAAAAAAATTCCTCACGAAAAATCCGGTTTTATCTTTTGTAATTTATTATTCAATTTATAATCACTATAATCAAGACGATTTAATAATATGAAGAAATAGGCACCGGAATTGTCACATGAAATGGTTGTTGAAAAGCAGTATAACAACGAAATTATTTGGCAAGAACAGCAACAACATGTATTTCTAATTAAGATCTGCTCTTTATATCATGTTTCATTAAAGCGACAATTATTAATGGTTCTATATTTATATGAATATGTTCTATTTAGTAGTGTTGAAATTAAAATAAAATCGCTTTTCACATTTAAACAACGTCTAACTAAGTAGCTGTTTAGTTCCATATTGAGCCACATATAAGCTAGTCTAATTATAAAGGATGCGACTGCTGTTAACGGAAATTGAGCATCAAAATTTGTACATAAGAATGCAATTTTTGTCATCGTTCTGCAGCTTTCACATCTCACTTAAACTTTTTGAAAAATAATAATTTTAACACCATTGCATGCAGCCAAAGCTTGCTTCACATAGATAGATTTATTTTGATGTTTTCATATGGCTTTGATGTTATTCAAAGTGCCATAAAGTTTAATTGAAAAATAAGCTGCAGGCACGCATCGGCAAGGCTGCAGCATCCACCGCCTCCGCCTCCTCTGTTTAAAAAGCCTGCCCGCCCATTTCCAACCCAACGCCCCAACCAACGCCCGCAACATAATCAGCTGCAACATCAGCAAACCAAACAACCAACCAGGCAGCCAGCCAACCAGCTAGTCAGTCAGTCAGCCCAGCAACCGACATTGTTGTTGGCTTAATTGTAGTTGTTGTTGCTGTTGTTGTAGTGGTTGTTCCTACTGCTGTGACGCAACCACTGCGCACGGCTCGACTCGGCTGTCAAAACTTTTTATGCATTTTTCGGCTTTTTGTCACGACGTCGTCGCTGACATCAACAACGATGAGGATGAACGACCAAAACGTCAACAAGCTGTCTGCAACATGCAGCTGCCGGCAGCTGACCTCTTCCCGTCCAACCTCAGCTCTCCTCCATTCATCGCTCCCCCCTCTCTGCCTGCGTTATCTGTACCATCCATGGTGTTGGCTGCTCTTTGTGCTTTTGATATTTTATACCCTTACGAGGAGTTTAATAACTTATGTTGTGGTCAGACAAGCAAATAATTTGCACATGACCGACATCTATCTTCAATGAAAACCAATAAAAATTCTGGATGAAACTATATTTTTTCCTGTCCAAAAACATATATTTTGAATCTGGCCTTAACTTATTGAATTTTAGAAATAAAGTGCCCTCCCCAAACCCTTTGTTTGTAACTTGAGTCTTAACATTTATTTCCGATCGGTTGGGCAGATTTACGGCTAATGGTAGAATGTTAAAGTGTGTGACTTTCATATTAAACCTAACATTTTTGAATGATTTTTCGGAACTTTAACAACATTGCATTATTAAAGAGTTCGACAGAATAAAATTTATAGTATTCGATTTATGTTTTGGCTACTACCTTGTAAACATAGGTTGCATTAGATCCGTTTTTAAGTTCAAATACCTTCTCGGCGTTTATTAAACCAGGAATCAATATACAGTGAAAACTCCCTTTACGGACACCTCTCTTCGGCGGACACTTTTTCTAAAACATTCGAAAAAGTTTAGACTGTAAATTTCTTTATTAAAGCCAACTACATTTAAGATATCGACTTAAAGAAGTTCTGTGGAAAGAAGTAAAGATTCAGTACAAAATAAAACAGGTTTTCCATAAATTGAAATTAATTCTTGAAGAACATAATACAAGGATATAACTATCAATTGAGATAGATTTGTTGTTTTAAAAACGTTTGTTCTTATTACTTATTTTCAAATGCTTTCTATCGAAAGATTGATTGATACGTTTAAGAGTTCTGTTTTATATTAAATGAAAGGATACTTGAGTCCAAATTTCAGCTTCCAAGCTCCTATCGTTTGGGCTGTGTGTTGATCACCAATCAGTCAGTCAGAACAAACTGTTTTATAGAGATATACATTTTCTTTAAGCACTTTGACTGAAGATGTTTGCTGCGGCTTATATTATTTGAGAGGGTGTTTTCGTTTCGGTGCTGTGCGTATATTTTGTGTTTTCTGGCTTGAATTATTCAGCAGCTCCGTCTGACCTAACGCTGCCTCCTGCCACGCCTGTCTGCGTCTGTTTGCCATTGCAGTTTTGTTCATCTCATCATTTATCGATGAGTGGCTTTTGTTGCAATACTCGTTGATGACAGCAACAGAAGCAGCAGCAGCAGCATCAGCACCACCAGCACTGACGATTCCCAACCGGTTGATGTTGTTGGTGTTGGCGCGGTTAATTAGTTTATGTGGGTTACCAAACCAAACCAATGCGACGGCGCCATCAGCCGGAGGCAGTTGCCGAATGCTGCCTTGTTTGTTGCAAGCAGTGAAGCAAGGCAGTTGATTGACTTGCCACACTTCGTGTCTCTAACCGCGTCGAAATTGCAATTATCGAGAGTTCATTAGGCGGTGCTTAAGGGCATAAATGGATTTTGCTGGGGTTTGGGAATGCCAGTGCAGATACAGGTGTTGGGGGGTTACGGTTATAGCATCTTCGTATCTCTATGTTGCTTGGTTTTGGTTGCCACATCCACACACATCCACAAACATACACCCATTTGTAATTCATGGCTTGCCAAAAAATATACACACACACAAAATTTCACTAACCCCTTGTCTTTATACATACGTATGCGTATAAACCATAGATGATTGCCACGATTCTGTAAGCTATGGGTTATGCATTTTACTATTCTGTAGTTCAAATGATTTTGAGATTCTCAGCAAACCTTCCTAGTTCCTCGTTTTGTTTGACATTCTGGACTGTTCCAGAACATGGAAAAAATGGCTTTCATTCGTGCTTTTACTTGTAATGTGAAATATTATGCTGTTTCCGGATCGCTCTAGCTTATGTAAGCAATAAACAACAAGTGTGGATAATTAATATTTATAGTATTGCATAACCAATAGCTTTATCAATCGTTGTCATTCACTCTCTTTCATCGAATTGTGTAGCCCTTGTCCTTACGTGTTCTTTCTTTTTTTGCTTTTGTTTGTCTCTCCTCCACACAAACCACTTACACACACACACACAAACACACACCTTGGTGCACACATACGCGAACTATAAGGACACGGAGCAGACCACCGAGCAGCAGGAACCGGTCAGCGAGCCAACCGTTAAATTAGTGCATGTCCTCAATCCTGGAGAGCGCGAATATCTCTCACCCAACCTGATTGGCGTGCAGAACATAGCGATGACCTTCTTGCCGCTTTCGATGAACTTTGTGAACGTGATCGATGCCCATCGAGAGATCGTTAATGGTGTGCGCTATGAGATCGTGCTGAATGCCATCGATACGAAGGCCAAGGATGCAGATATCATATGCCGTCTGGTAATACTCGAGAAGCCCTGGCTAACCACACAATGGGGCGACAAATTTCGTGAGCTGGTCAACTCGAATTGCACAGATGAGGCCGACAATCAACTGACCAGCGACATCGAGGACCAAAGCAAGGACAAATACACTCGCAATATTGTCTTCAATGGTGGACAACGCAATGAATTAAGCGACAATGAAATGGCAGCGCTCGAGCCGCAAATTATGAGCGGGCCCAGCAAGCGACGTGCCTCAAAAGTGTCCACAACGACGACATCGTCGACAACGACGACGACAACCACTGAGCGGGCATCCACTAATGAGCCCACAACGGCAATTAGCGCCGATGGGGCAACTGATGTGGCACCCACACCCAGTAATGAGGAGGACACAACGCAAATACCCGCCGAACTGAACGATAATGAGAAGCAATGGTTAGACGATTTTCTATCGGTGGGTGCCTACAATTTTGAACAGACCATTGGGGAAAAGCGCATTCCGGGTGAACAGCAAACGCCATTAACGGAAGCGAATAATTATCAAGTGGAGCCGGAGCCGGAGCCGCAGCAGGAAGAACAGCCACAGCCGGGCAATGCGAACAGTGAATAACAACAGAAACAACGCTTTATCATCCTGAATATAATCATCACACATACTCGTAACTCCCACACAGAGAACACTCACTCACTCACACACAGAGTTATGTCTTTACCTGTACCTATATACTCTCGACAGTAAAAAGAAAAGCGAAAAATAAAAATGTTATTTAATTGAATTTATTTAAGCCTGGAATTTCTTCTTCTTTTACATCGTTTCTCTGCACGCCTCGGTCCTTCTCATCCTTTTATGGCCGACGTGTTCTACTTACAGGCTTCGTTGCATTCGCAATACGCCACCTGACACCTTGCTATCTGCCTGCTTGTCTGCCTGGCACTTGGGGTGCCTACTCCCGCCACCCCCCTCCCCCTGCCACTCTGCCTTTTCTACCCCCACAACACTTATTTCACCTTAATAATCAAATGAGTTTCCGCTTTCAAATTACGGCCGCAATCTGTTTAGCTCGGCCGTGTCGTTGGCCACATCCACCAGTGCTGTCTATATATTTACATATCTATGTGTGTCTTGGCTCTCTAAAATGCACCGGGGGGGACTTCAAGTATATGTGTGTGTGTGTCGACAGCTACGAGTGTAAAGCAAGTGCTCTCATTATCCTTATGCTCTAGTTTTTACTCTACTCAGTTGGGGTGCACAGTGGCTTCAAATAGTGGTTATCTTAGGTCATCGAAGATATAGTAATGCGATATTTAGCTAACCACCAGTAAGGTGCGTCATTCTTACAGCCCGTTGAGTGGTTCAATAACCGGAATTCGTTCTATGGGGCTAAGTCCTTAACTAGCTTGAGCAAAAGTCGATTTCAGCATAAAAGATGACTTCACAACTGACCCCTTGGCAGTAAACCCGTAAAAAAATCAAGTACGGCCAATATGAGCTTCGAATCAGTTATATATTCTTTTCAATGTTTTAAATTGGCTTGGCGATGTCGAATGAAGTACGTTTTTAATTTAAAAGATTATTTTTATACCCTGTACCCGTAGGGTAAAAAGGGTATATTAGGTTTGTGCAAAGTATGTAACATACAGAAGGAAGCATCTCCGACCCCATAAAGTATATATATTCTTGATCAGCATGACGAGAGAAATCGATCTAGACATGTCCGTCCGTCTGTCCGTCCGTCTGGATGAACGCGAGGATCTCAGAAACTATAAAAGCTAGAATAACTAAAGTTGGCATCCAGATTCTCCTAGGTCCGAGTAAGGACGAGTTTATGTTTTTTTTTTTAATTTACCCCCCCTTCCCCCGCTACAGAATTTCGTCAATAGCGTCCACATTTCAAATGCTACCTAAACCAAACTTTGCACACATAATTTCTATATAATTATCTACTGTTGTATAAAATTTTATTCAATTCGGTCAATTCTAAGAAAAGTTATTAGCGAAACAAATTCTCGCCAGTACAACCCCCACAAACTGCAGCAACAAGTTCGCTCTTCTTCTTCCTCTTTTTGCTGCTGCTATGGGCGCATATAACTCAGTGACGGAAGTTTACCTGGGTACAGGGTATTACACTGTCGGGCTTGCTCGACTGTAGCGTTCTCTCTTGTTCAATCAATGGCTAGGGGTTAATAAGAGTGTTCTTCATTAATTTCGCAAAAATTAATGTTATTTTGAATATTTTTTTGGCTGGGAGATTTTCTCAAATATGAACAATTATTGATCATAAAATATTACTTCAGAAAAGCAAAGATTTCTGAAAGACGGCTTAATAACTTAAAATTGATAAGAAATCTTGAATATGGTCTATGCTCCTTGATTATAGCTCTTCATAGGAGCTTCCACTGTAATGCTAAATATTTAAAATTAAATACATTTAAAATTTGCAGGCCACCCTTTTTCTGAATGCTCTTAAAAATTTAATTTCAAAAGATATTTTTTTTAAAGAATCCTAAAGGATATTATTTATTTCCAAAGAAGCAATATAAAATAGTGAAATAAAGGACCATTCTCTGGTTGAACGTGGAACGATACTAAAAATTGTTTATTTAATGATCATTAACAAGACTGCCGATGGTACTATTGTTAGTAATATTGGGGCCTTCTTTCGTGCTACTATCAATACTAAAATTAAATAAGCTAAAGTTGAAGTGTTTCATTCCTTTCTGCTTAGTTTCCTGTAAAGTCCTTTAAAATGTTTGGCCGCAGCTTTGAGAAAACCTTTAAAAGTACAGGATAACAGATTTGCTCTCTATAAGAAATATAGTACAATATATGGATGGGCTAGGAGGTGCAGCATGATGCTACTAAGTAAAATTTTTAGTGTACAAGTAAGGAATGCAAGGAAAGGTCCTTTTGGTTATACTGTGCGAACGCCGTTTTTAACATCATTTACGTTTTAATTCTTATTGAAATACACATTTGTATTAACAGCTCGCGGGGCACACTCGCAGCGCCGTCCAAAGCAGCGCCCAAAACAGAATGCTTAATGAATTCGTGTCGTGGTGGTGACCTCCCTGCCGGCCTCCCCGCCCGCCTGCCTGCCTTCCTCCTTACCTGCCTCCCTATTGGGTGCTCCACCCAGGCATAGCCGATGTTTTGCTCTTCTTCTTTAATTATACACACGTCGTAACCATTACATTTCATTTCGTATTGTTGTCGCTGCTTGCTGCACCAATCCCTACGTGCCACCTGCAACAGCCGTTAGCATGTGGGCTTCAAATTGGGACGGGGCTCGGAACCCGGGGCGTTTGCCAATTACCCAGCAAACCCAGCAGAACGAAGCAGCCAGCGCCAGCGCCAGCTAGGCTGTGGGACCAAACGAAAAGCCAACCAGCGAACCAAACACTCGCAGATCTCACAGCAGCATTCCGGCCGAAAATGTTTGGTTTAATTGGTTTTGTGTTCGGCATTGAATGGTTTATGTGTCTCTCCCCGTCCTGCTATTGTCCTGTGGGCGTCCAGGTGAGGAAAGAAGGAGCACAGGCTGTACAATTTTTCCGTTTGTGTGTGTCAATGTTTGGGGATAATGTAAATTCAGCCATGTCTTTGTTTCATTTGCATTTATATGTGATTTGTGTGTGTGGGTCGTGTGTCTTTTCCATTTCGCTGCTAATGGCTGGAATGCTGGAGCTATTGATTGCATCCTGGCTGTTGGTTGCAGGCATTGCAGGAATAGCCTTTAATTTGGAATGACTTTTAGAGGGAAATCTTAAACAGATGTCTTCAAAATCGGCTGCCCTAGATCCACCGACATTCTTTTTGTGATTGTGTTGCTTAGGAATCGAAGAGAGTTGATCAAAATTAGCAAAATTATTTCAATTACTAAGAGCTAAGAGTCTTGCAATCTCAACTGCGTAGCCTTTTCTCTCCAGCGTACAATTTTGTAGTAGTCTTTGTTTTCTAAATCCACAGCCCTGCCAGCCACTTCAAAATTATATTTCAGTTCCTTAGGTAGAATCAAACGGAGTACAACGTTTGTGACTCTACACAGAAAAACTAATTATTTTTCTACAAATTTTCTACACACTGATTTTATTTGTTCCTCTTCTGGGGTTTTTGTTTTTCTGCAACGCAAACACATAGCAGCGAATCGAGACTTGTTTAAAAAGTCAGTTCAATCCAAATTTATCGCGTAACACTTAAGGAACACTTAACATCTAGTGTCGGTGACAGCACCAAGCAAGACATGAAGCCATCACTAGTCTCGCGTATACGTAACATTTGGATAATGTCCCATTGGATGCGAAACGAGGCGGTGGCTGCCGCGGCGATGCTGGTGGTGCGACGTAATGAAGTGAAGCTAAGGCGTGCCGAGGACGAAAAGGAGCTCGAGAAGAATGCTGGTCAATTGGGTGTGGATGCCGCCGGCAATTTGCGGGTCATACGCGTTTTGGACGACTACGTGGTGCCTTTCGAGTGTGGTCTCTAGTCGGTTAAGAAGGGAAGAATCCCAGCAAATGGAGTGCCACTGAGTCCTCGAGTCCTCGCTCCTCCTCTCAATGAAGACTGAGCATTAAACACTTAAATGAACAAACTTTTGGCAAATATTTAAGGAAAGCTTTAAGTAAACACCAATAAAAACCAATGAGAAGATATAGAAGTGAAGGCTTTTGAGCGTTATTTTGGTTTCCATTAAGCTATGGTCAGACAAGCAAATAATTTGCCAGCAAATTTGTTGTAGATAATTCCCTATATTGTATTGTATTGTTTATTGTAGCAGAAAACCTTATTTTAGCTTAAAATTCGCGTTAGTTCTAATTAATAAATTTGTGTGAAAAATATTTCTCTTCGACCAAAAATCTTAATAGATACAAAACTTGTGGCAAATATTTATCGAAAATTTCAAGTAAAAAAAAAACACAAATACAAAGCTCAATAGGTGTATGGTATGTATGTATTTTAAACTATATTTATTAAAACTTTATTTAGTTCCTAATATTTTTAATCGAAGAAGGACGATATTTTTAAGGAATATGACAAGTTTTTCTCACATTATTTGTCAGCCTGATCAAAAGTTTCGTAAAATATGTAACGAAAGCCTTTAGGGAAGACTTAACAGTTAAAATGAATAACTATTTCAATAGGTAAAAAATTTAAAAAATAATTTTTTTTTTTGAAAATTTTAAGGCTCGGTGAACTCCTTAAGCTCAGTTTTTTGTGCAATTAACTGATCATCTTTGTCAAAATGTAAAGCTCCATTTATAAACTAGGCTCATAGATCATCTTTGTCTTGAAAGTCTAATAAACCCGATTTATATGCGATTTAATTTTACAGTTTCTAGCCCGTAGTCGTCGCAGCCTAAACGATGTGCCTCTGGGTGGCATCAAGCCCTTTAGCGAGAAGCAGGCTGAAGAACAACTTCAACGCACTCTGGACAAACTAACAGCCGGCGAGGGTCCCCATTATAGGTAACATTTTTCTGGATTACGACAAATCACAAGCATTGCTTATCAGAGTACCTCTCCTCTTGTAGAATCGCAAAAGTCTACTCAGCGTCGCGCCAAGTGGTGTCTGGCACCCTCACACGCATTGATGCCGATCTTGTGGATTCGAATGAGGACCAGCATCGCTGCATTGTGGAGATCTGGGCGCAGCCATGGTTGGCTCAGGGTCACGATATCACCTTCAAGTGTCGCAATCAGCCGGTGGTACGTGCTCGCCACAGCCGTTCCGTAGAGTGGGCGGAGAAGAAGTCGCACAAGAAGCATAACCATCATGCGTTGGATAAGGTTGATCATCTGTTCCACAAATTCCAAATCAAATATGGACGTCGTTATGCCAACACCATGGAGCGCCAAATGCGTATGCGCATCTTCCGCCAGAATCTGAAGACGATCGCAGAGCTGAATGAGAACGAAATGGGAAGTGCCAAGTATGGTATTACGGAGTTTGCAGACATGACCAGCACGGAGTACAAGCAGCGCACAGGTTTGTGGCAGCGTGATGAGGGCAAAGCTACTGGAGGTGCACCGGCGGTGGTAGCAGACTATCCGGGTGAAGTGCCCAAGGAGTTTGATTGGCGTCAAAAGAATGCTGTTACCCAGGTGAAGAATCAGGGTCAGTGCGGCTCGTGCTGGGCCTTCAGTGTGACGGGCAACATCGAAGGTCTCTACTCGCTTAAGACCGGGGATCTGCAGGAATTCTCCGAGCAGGAGCTGCTCGATTGCGATTCCGTGGACAGCGCTTGCAATGGCGGCCTACCGGACAATGCATACAAGTGAGGAGCGGCTTCGAAACCCTCAATGTTTACAAATTAATATAACTTTGTAAATTTCAGAGCCATCAAGGACATTGGCGGTTTGGAGTACGAGTCCGAGTACCCCTATTTGGCCAAGAAGAAACAATGTCACTTTAATAAGACGCTTGCCCATGTAAAGGTCTCCGGCTTTGTGGACTTACCGCACGGCAATGAGACAGCCATGCAGCATTGGTTGTTAAACAATGGACCCATTTCCATTGGCATTAATGCGAATGCGATGCAATTCTATCGCGGTGGCGTCTCCCATCCCTGGAAGGTCTTGTGCCAGAAATCAAATCTCGATCATGGAGTTCTAGTTGTCGGCTATGGCGTCTCGGACTATCCAAATTTCCACAAGACTCTGCCCTACTGGATCGTTAAGAACTCTTGGGGTCCCCGCTGGGGCGAGCAGGGCTACTATCGCGTCTATCGTGGTGATAATACGTGCGGCGTCAGCGAAATGGCCACTTCGGCCGTCCTGGCCTAGATAAACCAAGAACAACGATCCACCTACATATATCTGTAGATCGGTTTAGGTTAACATCGAGCTATACAAAAATTTCTGATTTGCATTTTGAGATACATTTCTTTTTCATACTCCTCACTCCCAAAACCCTGGAACTTTTGTTCTGATTAGCCTTCATATAAGTAGGTACCATATATAGTATATACATTATAACCTTCTGACAGACAACTCTTGTAACCCCCGGCAGCATCATATACACATACGTAACGAGAAGCATATAAATATATATATATATTGAAATAAATTTAAATTAAACGTTTATGTTTTACGTATTAATGGTGAAGGATTTCGTGTTCGATATATCGATCGAAAGGTATTGAAACGCAGATATTCAGAATCTTAACAAAATCTGAATGACTTTTGAAGGCCGATTTATTTATACAGGGAAGAATTCCAGTTCAGGGTCATTGTTGCTCAAAAGTCCAATATTTAATATTTAAAATCTTCTTATGGATAGGAGAGGGTTTAAAATAGTTTGCATACTTGAGAGCAATAGCCTTTTTCCATTCATTCCATGCCTGGAAAACCATATGTTTCACAGCAACAGTTGGTCGTCTGTTCAGTGGCTGTCTCTTTCCAGTATGCTAATTAGATTTAGACGAGGGCCGTCCCTTGGATGAAGCCAAACAAGAAAATTGTGCAGCCCAGCAATCAGCGTCTATGCTCAGCAGACGTTGTTTAAATCAAGTCGCTTGCAGTAGCTGCAGCTATATTGTAGTAGCATTTCAGAATAAAACAGAGCCGCACCCATGGCCATGGATGATTACGATGATGATGGTAAGTCCGCAGGATTATAGCTAGTTTAGTAAAACATCAGTGCCTCTCCATCCAGTGAGCACCACAGGCGTTGGGGTCACAACGACGGCACGCATAGAGAACCAACAGCAACATCATCATCAGGGTCAGCAGCATAGCTCCGGGGCCGTCAAGGTGGGCGGTTGGCGTTACGAGGACGCCAGTCGTTATATTGGAGAATGGAATCAGCGCGGTCAGAAGCACGGTATTGGACATCTACAACTTGCAGACGGCACACGCTACGATGGCAAATTTGTTGAGGGTTTAAGCCAGGGACTGGGATGTCTCTGGTTTCCAGATGGCGCCAAGTAAGTGGTTCGCGCTATCGATTAATTCTACATAGACAGCAGAACGAAGAAATTAAAGGTATGACGCTCATATTAAGGGTATAATAAGGATATACATTATGTGTACCATCCGGAAGCTCCTGTTTCCTCAACTCAGATAATATGACGGGACTGACAGAGAGGATTCAAAGACCAAAGCTCATAGACTAGGCTTCTAAAACGACGCAGTCAACCATTCACAGAAATATAAGCAGTTTTTAGTATTAGTGAAGCAATATCACTAATTGTCCAACTTGTAATAGAGGCTTTAAGTATTTGTCGGTTTTGTATCTATTCAGAGTCAAGACATCACAGACTGCCCTCGCATTGTCAGAGAGTGGATCTAGCCATCTAGGGATTAATTGTTGTCGGGTAGACCTCTCATGTGTAGATTTCTGGAAACTAACGTGAAGACATATGCTTAGAAATCTGACGGTTAGAATCTAACATGCATGTATGCATCTGATGTTTAAACATCTGACGAAAATTTCCAGTATGAAATTATATTTTTTTGTAAGTTTCGAAATCAAAACCATAATGCTATTCAACCTTTGAACTGCTAAGATACTACCGTTGAAGGCTAACTCTATGTATTGCTGATTAGGATCAATGTTAATAATTGTGATCATTTCCAGATACGAAGGCGAATTCCTGCAAGGTTGGTTTCATGGTTATGGCATCTTTTGGCGATCCGATGGCATGAAGTATGAGGGCGAGTTTCGCGGAGGAAAAATATGGGGTCTGGGTCTACTCACATTCCAGGACTTTACGCATGGTTTTCCGCGCAACGAGGGTTTCTTCCAGGACTGCCGTCTGATGCGCAAGCATCGCTGCCCCGAAGTGGTTCAACGGGCACAGAAATGTGCCTTAATGGCGCGTTCGCAATGCGAGCATCCCTACTAGAAATGGTGAGGAAGCACTCGTCCCTCATATATTGGAAGTAATAAATCTATCTGTGTTGGCCATAAGTTTGTGCATTTTATGGGTTATATAAAAATAGTTTGCCATTACTATAACGTTAACAATTTGGCGCCGCTAATCTCCACTGGGCGCGCCCACTAAATACCAAGCGTTGCGCGCCTTCACTGCCATATTTCGAACCAAACGCTTCGGATCGTCCAATGCCGAGGCGAGGGCCAACGTTACATCTACTTTGTGCGGCAGCAGCACAAAAGTGGGATATTTGGTGCAGTCGTAGAGCAGCTGAAGCGCAGAAATTCGCACTTGCTGCAGAGAGAATAGAAAATAATACGCATTATCAGTTAATTAATAAGGCAAAAATAACTGCAGTACACACCATTGTGTGATGCTCCTTATATTTGGACAGCTCTAGGCAGCTGGGTATTAGGTGGCCCAAGTGCGCCTGAAAATAGACATCTTGTTGTCTCACAAAATTCTCGCATATGCCCAATGCAATGCATAATGTCTGCGCCTCTGTATACTCTAGACTTTTGAAGAGCAGCGGACCCAATTTTTCAATATTCAGCTTCAGTACAGGGTGCGGCGTAGCCTTGAGAACATAGATAAAGGCCTTCAGGTGATGAACACAATAAGCGGCCAGCTTGTTGCCCAGCTTGTTGAGTATAGTGTGGAAGAATTTCTGTTTGTACAGGTATTTAACCACAGGCAGATCCAGTTCCGGATACTCCGCCGATATTATATCAAAGGCCAAGGCAGCTCCTGTGCTCAGCGTTGGATGATCCAAGAGTTCGGCCAGCTGCAGCAAATAAGACCAAATTGATTAAAACGGAATTGTATATGTAAAACGATTCGCGCCGTCCCCACTTACATCGCCCACAATTTCCGCTGCGTCAGCAAAGCCGCTAACGATCAGGCCCTTTGTTATCCAGGCCAAGACCTCGACGGCACGCACATCGCCCGCCTTGATTGCCGTCTTAAGTTTGTGTATGGTGACCAAAAGCTTGCTATGGTTGGCCTGATTGTATTCGATTTTGTTCACTAAGCTGCAAAGCAGATGATGAGCGATGACCCGCAATTGTTCGTTTTGCGTGTGGAGGGACAAGTCCGTGAGATCGTGCAGCAATCGCTCGAAATGATCATCCAGGCTAATGTCCTTGTGCAGATAGGCCAACAGACCCTTGGCTACATATAAATCGGCAGCCACTTGCAGCTGCAGGTTCGGCAAATATTCACTAACAATAGCGTACTGCTCGGAAACGGGTAGCTGTTGGATAATGTGGCTAAGAGCGGCAGCGATTTGATCCAGCGCCTCCAGGGGTAAGGGGCTCGTCTGCTGGGCCAACTCAATGAGTTTGTGTATCAGATTGGAGTTCTGCTGCAGCTCAACAACAAACCTCTGGTCCTCCTGCGTGAGCAATGTGTTCAGCGCCTCCAAGGCCAGCAGACGGACATGATCAGGTGTCGTTGTTTTGAAAACCTGTGTCATCACTAAGTCGAGGATACGCTGCGTAAAGGCCATTTGGGGTAGGAGGGGTAACAAATTCGCATAAATTTTCCGCTTTATGAAGTTGGAAAAGATCTCAAAGTTGCGTATGCAAATATCTATAAAATTAGACTGCAACTCGACGGGCTGCAAAGCGCCCAACTGCACTGTCAGATATGTGAAGTCCAAATTAATGCTGGGATGACTAATCAGCTGTACCAGAGCCTTATAGACGAGCGCTCGCTGTGCCTCGCTTAGCACAGGCACGCACTCATTTAGAACCGCCAACGACGCACGCTGCAGATCCAGTTGCTTATCATCAAAACCCTCCTGCTCGAACAGGCGGAGCGTTGCAATTACATCCGTTTGAATGGCCAGCGTTGTGCGACTGTCCAGCTGTTCCAGTGCCTGACGCAGTCCCGTCAACTTGTAGACCTGAGCTATAATATGATACAACTTGTTGCGCTGCTCTGCGCTTATGCTGCCAGGCGTCTGTGCAGCTGCCGCCTGTAGCTTAAGCAGAAAACTGTTAAGGATTCTGCCGGCGGCATAGCGTGCATCGCCAGCCACACATACCAGTGCTATGGCAGTGGCCGGATTGAAGAGACGCTGATTTACATCGGTTAGATGGGGCAGCACCACGCCCAGCACAATTGTTTGATAGTTTTGACTTATGCTAGGCACGGTGGCCGCACGTTCAAGTAACGCAGCCAGCGCCTTCAATGCCATGCTCACAATCTCAACATTGTCACCACCCGGAAATGTTTCCGCTTTCAGAGCTTGCCAAATTTGTTCGAAATGTGGCTCCAAAACATCCGGTGGGAATTTTAAGGCGGCCTGATGCTGAAAATATGTAATTATTTAGCTTAATAGAGCTGCAACTTGTCCCCGATGCTTACCAAAAGCTCAATAGAATCCAGTTTGGCTACAACCAAGTCACTTTCCAGCTTTTCCACAGCCAACACAACTGTCCATTCGGCAAAAACGGGCGTGGCAACAAGGCAATTGGTAAGCTTTCCAGCCAAATCATCGCGTGTTATTGCCGTCGGATCCTGCTTACTTGGATTAAAGTCGATAGGAAAGTAACAGGAAAAGATTTCAAACATTTCCTCAGCTAAATGCAGCAGCGGATAATTTGCTATAAAATCGGGCATGAAACTAAATATGATGTCCAAGTTGCGAGGATCGCGCTCGCCATCAATGGAATTAATTAGGCCATACAGAAAGTCACCGGCCATCGTTTGAAGCTCTGTGTAAAATAAATGATTAGCAACACTTATTAAGATACCTGTTGAAGTCAATTACCATTCTTGAAATGCAATGTCAGGTACTGGAATAGATTAAATAGCTTGGTACGATCGCCACGCGTTTGCGACTGGCAGGTGGTATGCTGGAAGAACGACTGCAGTATCATAGGCACATATTGAGAAGGCAAATTCTTCATATGCACCAAAGCATTAATGCCCTCGATGATGGCGGGCATAACATTGTGATGATCACGCAAGCGATCAGTGTAGAATGTGGTCAGGAACTCCAACTGTTGTGCATTCAGGATATCTACTGGCAAGCCCGCCAGCACCGACGACAATAGATTGGTGCCGGCCACACGCGCATCTGTGTCCTGAGACGTGAGCGCAAACCCCAACTCTTCAGCCAAGATGGCAAGGTCATAGCTGCCGGCGGTCACATCTATTCACAAAGGCATTAAAAATCTATGAGAACAGCTGATCCAGCATTGGACGCTTCGGTTACCTTTAGCTATTTGTGCGGCCGTCTTTTGTAGTTTAACATCGTTTTTCAAGGCCGCCTCGAGGGTTGCACGCGTGGGCGTTGTCATGTCGGCGCCGTCGCAAAGGTAATGCGTTAAATTTAACTAATATTTTAAGCCGAAAATCTTCAAATACAGACTGGTGTCAGTTGCGTGTGAGCGGCGCACGTAGGGTAAAACTAGTACAGCAATATGTTTCAGGGCAGGGGCACACTGTTTAACAGCTGATCTTCAATGCTGCCAAAAACAATCAAAGTAATAGCCGTTAGAAAAAATTTTAATTAATTCATTTACATCAGCATTTATAATTGATTTAGTAGTATTAGCAAAGAAAGGAGCTTATTATACTCCATTTTCTAATTTTATAATTAGGTGGCTACTGAGATTTATAATAATTTGTTTAATAATGTGTTTTTAATTTAAAATGTATGTTTCGAAATGTAAATTTCTAACTCTAATTTCAAATAGAAGTAAATAATAAAATAAACATAAACAGTAATAAAACAGTGGAATCGAAACCTTCTTCACTATTTTCAACACTAAGACCTTGAAATCAATGCATCCGCACAATAAATAAATTGGTAATCAAACTAATTATGGGGAAACAAAATATTTAATAAACATATACAAATAATAACTAAATTTAATTTATTATATTTTCCAGTAACATTTATAAAACAAATTGTAATCTAAGCTTACCGTTCTCATATATTAGCATTAAAGTCCCTCATTTAAGATAATATAAAGTATACAGGTTCATTTCAAGGTAAGAATACTGAAATTGGTCATTAACTTTAACTTTTTTATAACAATGTTTTTTACTCTTTGCAGTTAAAAGGTTTACTTAATTTCAGCATATGGCAGGGCCCACTTGATTGACTTGGCAGCACTTTCCGTCACTGTCATCGTCGGTTCCCCATTACACGCCTATCCGCTACGCGACATAAAACCGTAGAATTAAGCAACAACACCCGTGCGTTAATTTAACTATTTTAAATAGTTGGTTGCTCTTTCAGTTAACATAATTAGAGTTTTTGTCCAGTTTAAAATTGAAACGTAGTGAATAAATTCAGTGTACTAATGTCCATTACCGTAAGTGTCGATAACTCAACTGGAACTCACAGTGGCTCAGCATAGAAAAACACGCAATCAAAAAGGAGTTGTCGGTAGAACAACTTTTTTTTTTTTTAATTATTTGCCGCCTACGAATTTTAATAACAATAAGCCAAAATGGAATACGAGAAATATCCAGCCAATGAACAAACAGCATATGATTATCTCAGCAATGACAAATTGAACTATTTAATCATTCTCAACCACTGTGCGATAGTTGTCGCCCCCAACAGCGTTTTCAAAGATTTTTTTTTTAATTTTAAATTAAAAGGCAACAACAACATCTTCCAGGCTTTATGCATAATACAAATGTAGAGCCGAGCATGAAAAATATTTTCCACTGAAACTTGAGCCGTGCTTTTTCTTCGTGCATTTGCGCTCGTGTTTGTGTGAGTGAATATATGTGTGCGTGCGTGTGGGTACGTGAGTGTTGCTTTTTTTTTGCATACGACGTTTACGTTAAGTCTTGAAAGAATATATTCAAAAAGCTTGACGACTCAACAAGGTCAAGCGCCTTATTTGGCACCTACTGCCGAGGTTATAATATTTTTATTACACACTACGTTTTCCAATAAGCATTTCATGTGCCGCATTGAGGCCTGCCTTTTAGAAATTGGAGCGTGCAACGTACACAGACTGTTTAAATTTGGTGACAAGGCGCCTTCTTCTGAGAGCACTTTATAATTAGCGCCACGACTCGGTCGTTGCCATTGCTATCTTCTTTACTTTATTTTTATTTTTTTCGGGTATTTAGAGGCTCAGTACACAGACTGCGTACTCACTTTCCATTTTTACCTGCAATGAGATGGTGTGTAAATGTCTATAAGTTTATTATGTGTCAGTGTGTGTTTGTCTCTTTGCGTTTGGTTTATGTGTGTGTGTGTGTGTGAGTGACGCAGCGCAGCAATCGCTTCCGTTCTATTGTTACGACCGGGGCTCACACTTATGTATGTATTTGGCCCGACAGCAACACCAACACACGCTCAAACGCAAAACCACTTTAATTGGCACTAATCTTTGTTTCGTTTTTGGTTAAAACAACAAAAATAACAACAACAATGTCGTCAACCTCTTCATCATTAGTTACTCCGAGGTGGCAAGCAAAAGACAACCACTTGTGTAGGAATGACCGTAATGGCCAAAACTACATTTGAAGAAATATGCGAGAATGCCAAATTAGCCAGAGATATGGCATTGACGGGTAACTACGACTCGGCTTGCATCTATTATGAGGGTCTGCAGGGCATGCTGGCGCGCCTCCTTAAAACCACAGCCGACCCCATGCGCAAAGGCAAATGGAGCATGGTAAGTGTGTTATAACATTATATTACCATCACCATATTATAGTGAATATATGTATGTTTTTAGATCAATCAACAAATCAGCCAGGAACATGCCAAAGTTAAGGCCATACAACGCACACTGCAGGACATATCATTAGATCTGCAGAGCACGAAATTCGCCCATAAACTGCGCACCCAAATCAGCGACGACGATAATATAACCAAAGATCCCGCCGCCTGGTTTCGTCCCGATCCAGATATATGGACGCCGCCACCCAAAGATCCAGATGTCTGGGGTCCACCAAAACCGCCACCGCCCACCACCCAAACTGTGGGTCGACGCGCAGCCCTAAACAGTAAGAAACCGTCCACCGCACAGCACGGCAGCCGGCACAGCACCATCCCACAGAGCACCACACGCAATGGAGCCTCCACAACTCGAAATAGTCGTGCCACCTCAACGTCCACATCGAATAGCGCCCGTAACACAAATGGTCGTGTGGCCGGACGTAAGCTCTCCACGTCAACTGCCAGCGATCGCAATGCCAACAATGGCGAGAGCAAGACAGCCGGCCAAGATGATGATGCTGCGGTCAATAATGGTGCCGCAGGTGATAATGAGGCGGGCGATCAACAGCAATCGGAGGAGGAACGCAAATTTCAACCCAACAATCACATAGAAGCTGAGCTCGTGGAGATTTTGGGTGAGTAAACAACTGAAAGAAACGAACGAACGGCAACAATCTAACGTATAATTCTTACAGAACGTGATATTTTGCAAAAGGATCCGAAAGTGCGTTGGAGCGATATTGCCGATCTGCACGATGCCAAGCGCTTGCTCGAAGAGGCTGTGGTATTGCCCATGTTAATGCCGGGCTACTTTAAGGTGCGTTAGCAAATGCTTTGGGCCCTTTTCTCAATTTTAAACATATTCTCCGATTCGCAGGGCATACGTCGTCCTTGGAAGGGAGTGCTGATGGTTGGTCCGCCCGGCACCGGCAAAACAATGCTGGCCAAGGCCGTCGCCACAGAATGCGGCACCACATTCTTTAATGTTAGTTCGGCCACACTCACCTCCAAATATCGCGGCGAATCGGAGAAAATGGTGCGTCTGCTCTTCGAGATGGCACGCTTTTATGCACCTAGCACCATTTTCATTGACGAAATCGATTCGTTGTGTTCGCGTCGTGGGTCTGAGTCGGAGCATGAGGCGTCGCGACGCGTCAAATCGGAGCTCCTAGTGCAGATGGATGGTGTGGGGGGTAGTGAGGAACAGGCCAAGGTGGTTATGGTCCTAGCAGCCACAAATTTTCCCTGGGATATTGACGAGGCGCTGCGTCGGCGTCTAGAGAAACGCATCTACATACCACTGCCGTCGGATGAGGGTCGGGAGGCCCTCCTAAAGATCAATTTGCGGGAGGTAAAGGTGGACGATAGCGTCGATTTAACATATGTAGCCAATCAATTAAAGGGCTACTCAGGCGCCGATATAACGAACGTCTGCAGGTTAGCAAAGTCGCCAAAATAGTATAATTAACAATTTTAACAAAACTAAAACTAATTGCAGGGAGGCTAGTATGATGTCCATGCGTCGCAAAATTGCGGGACTAACGCCGGAACAGATACGCCAGCTGGCCACCGAAGAAGTCGATCTGCCAGTGTCGAATAATGATTTCAACGAAGCCATCAGTCGCTGTAACAAAAGTGTATCCAAATCGGATTTGGAAAAGTATGAGAAATGGATGAAGGAATTTGGTTCGTCATGATGGCGTTATAATAATTACAACAATAACAAAAACAATGCCAACATATGCTGTGGAAATATATTTTTCAATAACTACACCTATAATAGCAGCATTAAGCACAGCAACCACACCACAACACACGTAGTTTATTAAGCTTATAAAGTGAAAAAAGAAATGTAATGTCTGAAGATTGAACATATTTTATATAGCATTTTGCATATATATACATTGATATATATATACATATATACACAAACTGGTTAAAGTGCAGAACAAGAAATTCAAAAGACTAACAAATTCTCTAAGAGGAATTAATGCAAAAGTGAAATTGAAAACGCTAGGTAGTACATTTTAAATAGCACCATAAACACCCGCATGCCCGTTAAACTGTGTTCCTTGCTAAAATGTTAATTTTGTTGTAATGAGAATTTGCGTTTTAATGTTTATAAACACAAATTTCTTTAACAACTAAGTGCATTCTTAGCTGCAGAAAAAGTTGAGAAATGAAGTGTTGTAAGTCTGTGACTTCTTTAAGCAATTGAACTAAATTATATTGAAGATTCTGGCAAGGACTAGTTTTTTAAAGGCACTCACACACCCACATCCACACAACACGCCTAGCAATCCTTCCATTTTAATAGCCTAACACACACAAACTAACTAATTAAGAATTAACATGCACCCCCTTCCATAAACATTTATATAGTAACTATATTATGTATAACTATCGAAAACGCCTCACACATGCCCACTACATGGCTTTAACCGATTAGCATTAGCTACGAGTATTCATATCGTTTGGTTATGTAAATCATCGTTTTTGATTTTTTTAATGTATTTGTTTAACACACAGGTTTTTTCTTTACAAAATAAGTTTTACATTTAAATCGCTTAATTTATCAGTAGTGTATATTCTAATTTAATGCCGAGCTGGCGTGCGAAAGTTATTTTAAATTAATCAAAACCAGAAGCAATATGTACTTAAATTTGAAATTTTAAACAATAAAAACATTTTTTAACTTGACGACGAACAGACTTGTATTTATTGCTGAGCTCGATTGTTTTTGATCATATATTTAAAAAATACTGTACATGGTACTACCGTACAGCAACAATAAATAACTTTGCAATGAGTCATTCCAATGGTGAGTCCATAAGTGATTTTAGATTTAAATATTCGCCAGATAACTAACAATGGCAGCATCGACTTGTCCTACGTTTGTGAGTCCCCTCTCTTCTCGTCAACCATTCAGTATGGCCGTGAGGGTGGCATTGGCATCATTGGACCCATCATAGGATATGGAACTCCAGCGCCCGCTATAGGCGGATAAAACCCACTGCCCGCGCCCGGCACATTGCCATACGCTGGCGAAGCAGTTCCAGGGCGTTGTCCAGCTGCTTGCTTGCGCATCAGCTCCTGCATTTTCTCAGCTTTCAGCTTGCGCAGATGCATGGTTCGACGATTAGCCAGGAACTCGTCGAGAAAGGCCTCTACGTTGACCTCGTTGTCTGTGAACTTCTTGACCAGCGACTCCGTTTGTTCCTCGCTCTCGGCCGCTGCTGTCTGTAGCAGCGCCAATGCCGTCTCCTGACTAACACCGCCGGACTTCTCTTTAATTTGGGACAACTTCTCCTGAACCGCCTCGCAACGTGTTCGCCCTTCCTCCAGCAACTCACCCACCTTGCCACGCAGTTCTATAATTTCTGGCTCCTTCTCTATGTTACTCTCGGCTCTGTTGCGATTCTCCTCGAAGAATCGATCCTTTTGTGCCATTAGAGTCTGCAATGCTTCATCAACTTTGGCGTCCAGTTTTTCATCGTCATTTAGTAGCTCCTTCAGCTCCTCAGAGCTGAGGGGCGCAATCGATGTTTGCATCTGATTTAGGTATTCCTGATACATGTTATCACCCAACGACTATTCCTTTTGTGTGTTTACAACTAATGACGATGTGCTCAAAATATTTAAGTGTGACCCTTGAAGAATACCAAATATTAATAGAATAGTATTTTTTGGTGCCAGTGCTACCATCTCTTTAAAAATCCCGGTATTTTTAAATGTACTACACATACTAAATTAAAATTGTTCACTATAGAATCTACAGTTTAGAAGATGACATTAATTAGCTTAAAATGACTTCTACTATGCATAGTTATGTGAATTATTTTAAAATGAAATACAAAATATTAATCAAGTGGATAAAAAGATACTACTCCTACTATCGATACCAGAACCTTAAAAGATGCATAACTTAAAAAAATAGGCAATTGTAGATATGACACTCCTTCAATTTTAATGGAAACATTTAGTGTGCTTACCGTAGTTACATAAATAAGTCGCCATTGGTTTCTAAATGGTCTGAAACCATAAAGCTACCTTCAACTACCTGTTTCAATCATTGAATAGTGCAGTTTGCCCTTTGCCGATAAACGGCATGTTAAATAAAACCGCCTAGAAATCTCTACGAAATATAGCTTTCGTTGACAAAAATCTTCTTAAGTAGCAATGTTTGCGTGTCTGACCGCAGCTTTAGTCTGACCATCCAAACTTTATAAATTGAAGATAAGACCATTGATTCATTAACAATTTTTATTTCAAAATGTTTTTCTTTTTTTATTTAGAATTTTATTTGTTTGTTGTTGCAAAAACATGTGAGTGCATCGTAAAAACATTTGCCAAATATATGCATGCATTTTAGAAATAGCCAGAGAACTTTCTAATGAAAATGTATGTGTTTGTGTGTGTCCAGCAACAGGAATAATCGCTGTACCAAGTCTTAAGCAGGAAGGATTTTTTGTTATTTTTTCAGAGTCTGCACAAAATTTCCCAAATCATATTCTTCCTCATACTGATGCTCTGACCAGAGCTCTGGCAGACTCTCAATTATGGTATTCATGGATACGGAACCACCAGTAGTCGAAGCGGTGGTGCCGCTGCTATCCGCTTTGTTGTTGCCACCGCCATTGAATAGATCGAAGATTTGGGAGGTGCCCATTGTCTGCAGAGAGGCGTTCTCGGCACTCACCACTGTATTGGCTGTGAGTATCTTGAATTTTTGCAAGCCCATGATTTTCTCTTCAAGCGAATTACGCGTAATTAAACGATAGACGTTGACGACCTTTTTTTGTCCAATACGATGGGCACGATCCATAGCCTGCAGATCCTTCATAGGATTCCAGTCGTGCTCGACAAAAATTACCGTGTCGGCGCCAGTTAAATTGAGACCCAAGCCGCCAACCTGCAAGACATCAAGAAGATATAACTATTTATATCTCCGAGCTGTTTTTTAATGTCCTTACCAGAGTAGTTAGTAGAAGAACATCTATGCTGGGATCACTGTTGAAATTATTGACTATATCCTGACGCATCGAAGGCGGCACGCTGCCATCCAAACGTAAATATGTAACGCTGGGCAAATGTTTGCGTAGCAAATCCTTCTCCACAATGTCCAGCATGGCCTTCAATTGGCAAAAAATGAGTGCACGATGCTGACTGACCGACTCTGTTTGCACACCAATGCCGCAGTCCAGAAGCAATTGCCTGGAAATTAGGTAAATGCGATTAATTAAAGCCATATATTTTTCCCTTTTGGGAGTTGAATTTTACGAAAACGCTTTTAGTTTCTAAGTCCACTTACTTGAGTGCAGGTAGCTTGGCGGAGTGCTCGATATCATCAAGGCTAGTGTTACTAATGGCCAAATTGGCGGCCACACCGCTCTGTTCGGTGGCATCCTTGAGCACCAGTTTGGGATGGTTGCAAACGTTCTGTAGATAACGCAATGCCTGGAAGATGTGCGTCTTTGCATTGAGATTCTCTGTCTCGCCGAGTTTATCCAAACAGTCTTTTAAGTGTTTCTTGCTAAAGTCCTCGTACAGGCTTAACTGCAATGGACTCAGTTCGCACAGCAAATCCTGTGTTATCTTTGGCGGCAAATCGTGCAGCACATCCTCTTTGACGCGCCGCAACAAAAACGGCAACACCTGACGATGCAACGCTTCCATGGCCAGTACCCCAGCCTCCTGCTCCTTGGCCGAACTCTTGGCATCACGCGAAGCGAGTATGGGACGTGAATAGCGTTGCGCAAATTGTTTTTCAGTACCCAAAAAGCCGGGCATTAGAAAATCAAACAGCGACCACAACTCCAGCACATTATTCTGTATGGGTGTGCCCGAAAGGATGAGTCTATGATTGGCCTTCAGTTGTTTGACTGCCTTCGAGTTCTTCGTCTTGCCATTCTTAATGATGTGCCCCTCGTCGAGGACACAATAGTTGAAGTGTATGTTGCGAAAGTAGTCAATATCCTTGCGTATGGCATCGTAGGAGGTGACGACCAGATTGCAGCTCGTTCCAATATGACTGCGCAGCTTTTCGCGGCCGACGGGTATGCCAAAGTAATGGAGGGGTCGCAAAATCTGTGATTGCGCCAGAAACTTGTTCACTTCGTAGATCCAATGGCCCGTCAGCGTAGGCGGACAGATCACCAGACTGGGCAGTGGCGTCTCTCCATCTGTCATACGCTTTTTGTGATCCCCGGCCAGTATACAAATGGTCTGCAGCGTTTTGCCAAGACCCATGTCGTCACAGAGTATACCGTGCAGATTATATTGGTTGAGAAATCCTAGCCAATTAATGCCCGCTTGCTGATAGCTGCGCAGCTCCACAGTCAACGGCACGGGCACACGATAGTCTGGTATGGTTTTGGGAGCAAACAAATAGTCCAAGAATTCACTATCCCGCGATTTTCGCGCCTGCAACGCCTCCGATTTGATCAGATGCTGGCGACCACCAGCCGCCCGCGAGTCTAACGGCATCAGCTGAATGAGTGTGGCAAAGCAATGCGTGGCCAGCAGGCGCACGGACTCGTCCGGATCGCTCATGGATCCCAACAGTGGCACCACCAGTAGCACGATATACGGCACTATCTTGATTTGCAGTTTATTCACCACCCGCTCAATGGCCTCCACAGCGCCCTGACGCTCAATAACGAGCTCGATTTTCCGCAACAGTCCCACCAAATGATTGACCACATAGTCCATCGTATTGCAGGCATCGATGTCGGCTAGCGTGGCAATGCAACGTGCAGCCATGTGTCGCACTGCTTTCAGCGGATGCGTCACAATACCACCCAAATGTGGTAGCAATGCAAAGAGCTGCGTATGCCAGCTGGTGTGTAGATATGGCGCCGCTGTCTCGATCAACTGCAGCGATGTCATTAGTTCGTTGGTGAGCGCCAGATCCGGCAAGCTGCTGGCTAATTGCTCCGAAGTATGGTTGCTGGCGAATTGGGTGACCTTATCGAACATTAACTGTTGAAAAATGGGCACCTTCTCCACAATCTGCCGTCCAAAGGACACACACAGCTTGCCAATGGCGCTGGCAGCTCCTTGACGTTGAGTTCGACACAAACGTGCCTCCATTTCCTTGCTCTGTAATGTTGCGGCACTCTCCATGTTCGCCACGGCGGCGGCAGCAGCAGCAGCCAACACATCACTTGACGGCGGTCGTCCAGGTCCTCGAGGGGTTGGCGTCGTCGGTGTACTGCAGCTGGCCACATTGGCAACAGCCGTTCGACTCGAATTATTCGCCTGCTGTTGCAAACTCAGTGTCAATATGCCATAGTAGACGCAGTTTGGGGATCCCGCCTCCGTCTGTTTCTGTGTTAGGTTGGCGAGTGTCTGAAACACGAGATAGGAAAAAATTTTCAGGATAAAAGAAGTAGTGCGTTAAAATGTTTCTTAGGAGTATTTAATTCATAATTATAAAGCAATTAAAGCTCATTGTAATCTCAAAAAGTTGATTTTTCATAAATAATTTCCCCAATTGGAGGGCAAATTGTACCCAAATTTGAGATCTTCATAAATTAATTTATATATTATATTTATTGATTTTTAATTAGTTAAATAACAACACTTTTATAGTCGGGTTCTATTCACTTACAATCTTGGGCGTATATTCGGCATCGCTCTTGAGCAGGGTGCACAAATTGTTCAGAATCTTGCTATTTGGACTAGGATTTCTATCACAAACTTGATCCATTAAATGCACCAGAAACTCGGCAGACAATTGTTGCAGCTGAACGCATTCCTCGCGCTTAATGGACTCCATTAATGGCTTCACGACTGGATTCAGTTTCTCGGGCAAGCAGTGGAGAGCACAAATGGCACCAGCCAATGCAGCCTGGGCGCTCACATGATATGAGCTTTGTTCATTAGTTGTCTGCTGATATGAAGCTTGTAGACTGCGCCGTCTCTCGAGGAGCGTATCTAGCACTTTAGTCCTGAGCGGATAGATCTGTAGATTGGAGCTGTGCGAATAGGCGATCGCCTCGATTTGGTCCAGCGTTAGAATCTTGGCATTGTTGAAGTCATTTATGGGTATTTTATTTTGTTTTAACGTTGCTACAAAATCCTGCGTCTCCTGCAACAATCTGTGGATACAGTTAGATGAAATAGTAAGTGTAAGTAATAGTGTCTTATCATCTCTGCGGCATATTGAGAATTTAATGATCGAAATCTGCTCACCTAGTTAGCGAGATGGCCACCTCATCGTAGTAGAAATACTCGTTTACACACTGATGCAGTTTCTCCTGCAAGTTCGGTGGTCCCGGACGTACAGGTTCATCTTCGAGCGCCCAGAAGGCAATAATTAGGCCGCACACCAGACGCTGTACGGCAGAGCGTGCATTCAGATGGACGAGGAGCACTTTGGTATAACAATCCGTTGGGCTTTCCATTTGTGGCGTGTAGACAAGACCGGGAGCCGGCTGTACCAGATAATGTGAGAGAGCACCGAGTACGCGGGAAGCCATTACACGAGCACGCACAAAGTTAGCCTCACGCACCTCCAGGGGCGTGGCTTCGCTGCCGCCCAAGAACAGCTTCAATGTGGCATTGGTGTGGGCTAGAGCAGCGCCACCCAAATCGTCTCCAATGCGCGGCGTGCGACGACGTGGAGGCATGCATGGAGTGTTTGGCGTTAGTGTCTCTCCGGCGGGAACAACTCGCATCAGAGAATTCGCATCGAAGGCTAGACGCGGTGGCTGCATGGCTAGGCATATCCAGGAGGAAACAAAGGGGCAGGCGGCGAGCAGCAGGGCACCCAAATCGGCATACTCGATGAGATTGGCCCAAACGCGACGCGCCAGTTCCTGTATCTCGGCCTGCGGTTCGACTAGAATCCTTTGATAGATGTGACGCAAAGCCTGTTGGAGCAGCTGCGATTTCCAATCGATGACGCCAAAATTTAGCTTCAGAGGCTTTGTTTCAAGCTTAACGACAACATCTTTAGCATCGCCATTACCATTCGCCTTGCTGGGCTCTTCCAGTTTCACAATCGTCGACTCACGTTTGTGGCCACTGGTCAGCGTGTAGAGAGTCGTTAAAGTGGATTTGCGCACAGAACTGGCGCTATGTGATAGAAAGGGCCACAAACGCGGTACCAACGTGTCCATTGGTTCCATTTCGATCCAGCTGGCGGCGTTTGGTAAGCACAATATGGCGGCCAAAAGACCCATAAAACTATTGCAGGCCGAAGTCAATTCGTCCTGATCCAGCAGCAGATCCCACAGCATTTTCACAATCGAAGAAACCTGGCTGGGGTTCAGTAGTTTGGGCAACCAGGAGGCCACCGGAATAAGTGTGGAGGCAGCCACCGCACCCACATCGTCGACAGTGTCGGAGAGTCCCAGCAATATATCTGATATGGTCTGTGGCATATAAATATGCAGCAACTCCTCACGCACCACGAATACATACTTGAGACCCAAGAGACCGCCATGCCGCACCTCCCACTCGTTGCTGTGCTTAATCAGCTGCAGCAATATATCCACAATGCTCTGCACTCTGTCCACATCGATCTCTTTGACCAGCGTGCCCAGCACTTGTGCGCAGGTTTCGCGCACCGGCGCCACCACTTGATCCGAAACAAAATCGCCGAAACGATCCAAACACAGCACACACAATAGTCGGAGGGCAGCATCCTCCAGCCAGCGACTGTGGGATTCGAGCATTTGATCACGCGTCTGTTGAATACTCTTTCCTGCTCCCTGGCCATGCTGGTTGATCAGCTCCCGCAGTGCCGTGGCAGCTCCATGCCGCACCTCCCACTTGGCATTAAAGAGATCAATGTAGAGCCGGGCACAAAAGTTTTCCAGTGGCCAGCTAACAGCATCCACCCAAGTGCCAGTGGCATCGGGTACGGGATCTGCAATAAATGGTATGTATATCTTAAATTTAATAACTATCTTACTAAGCATTCTAACATTTGAATATCTAATCCATTGTTTTTGAAGATGTCATTAACTTAGTATGTGACTAGGTGTAGCCGATGTGTTAGCCTGTCTGTTTCAAAAATTCGGACTCACCGTTTAGATTATAAAAGATCTCCTGTCGGTCACTTGATTTCATTTTTTTCTTTTCTGGCTCCTCGCCGATAGTGGCACCATTTCCAGTTGCCCCGCCATTGCTGTTACTGCTGCCCGCCGTTGAGTTGCGCCGGCTGCTTGTTGGTGTTACTGTTGTGGCATTGGCTGTCTGAGCGCCGCCAGTGGCGCTCTTTCTGGCTTTGCGTTTGGCGCGATTAATCTCACGGCAGCTGAGCTGTTGGCCACCACCATTGGCTGGCTTTATGTTTAGAATGTGCTCAACGGGCACCTTCTCGGCGTTGACGTTGTAGCTGCTTCCGGCACGCGTCATTGTCACATCCTCGTCGGTGATCATGTCGGTGAGATTGACACCAAGCTTGGCTGCTGCAGTGAGTCCAAGTTTCTCATTGAGGAGGGCGCGTTGGCGACTCAGTCTTGCGGCTCCAGTGGAAGCTGCTGTCGCCTCGGCGCCCCCGCCATTCGCTGGCTGTTCATCCTGCACATCGAACTCATTGCCCTCAGAGCCAATGAGACGTGCACCCTTCAGCAGGATCTGTTGTAAATCGAATTCGGCAAAGCTGAGCAGCCGTTCGCTTTGCTGAGGTCCGCCGCCTATTGTTGAGGACGAGACATGTGAGCCGCTTGATTGACAGCTGTCCTCCTCAACGGCGGCCAAAGACGTATTGCTGCTGCTATTGTTGTCGTTTGGAAGCTTTTGTTCATCGCAGTTCTTCTCCTTCTTCAGATTAATGGCCTCCGTCGTCTGGAGCTCGGGCTGCCAAGGTGGCACCTGCTTGAGTATAGCCTCAACCGTCTGCGCCGCAGCAATCCGCGTATCCCACGATGTGCTGTGCAGATAGCCAATCAGACGATTGAGAAGCGCATGAAGCTCATGTGGATAGAGTTTTTGTACTTCGCCGATTTGTTTGGCAGCTGCACGACGCGTGGCGACTGTGGAGCCCGACTCGAGAAGTATGAAGAGACGATCGAGCCTATAGAAGCAAACATTTCATGAATTAGTTATGCATAGGTATTGTTTACTTTTTGACTTATTGTCACTTACCGGGATGTCATTATATAGCGAAAGCTTCGCTCTTTTCCTTAGCGCTGTTTTTTTTTTATTTATTTTATTTTGTGACACGTCTATTCCGTGCTCTTCTCACCTTACTATAGTAACTAATCTGAAAGAATATGTAAAATAACATTAGTACTTTTTTTTTAAATAAATAAGCATATTACTTAGAAGCTTGTCCAATCTTAATTTTCAAGCTGAAACAAGCATAACTGAAAAAACCTATTCCACGTCATTAAGAGAGTTACCTCCACCCTATCTCGCAATATACATATGTCGCTCTCTTAATCTTAAATTTAAGCACATTTCTGTGAGACTATCCAATCGTAATTAGCGTATTCTTTATCATCGAGGATCAATAAATTCAATTTTAATTAGTTGCAGTCTAGCAACATTTCGAAGGTGGCACAACAATAGAAACCTATTTCACATACTCTCACATAATATATAATAATACGTGTTTATACGAGTACACATGCATATGGATATGCGCACATTCGATGAGACGATTTGCGATTTCACTGAACTGAGAACAAATTTTATGGGTGTATTTTATACAAGTATATCTTAAGCTTGGTGTTTAACCAAATAAGGAAATTTTTCTCCATGTAGCCCAATTTTTGATAAATTAATCCTATGGCAACTTATTGGTGATTCCTAACAACAGATGGTTTTAAAAAATACAATCCAACCTGGAATTCAATGGCCTTTAAGCGGTGACAAAATAAAATATATATATATATATATAGTATATAATTTTGTCGATGTCTATGAATGAGACTATATTTTATGTATAGATAGATATACACATCACAAGTGCTAGTTTTTTAAATGTTTAGAAAAATATTAAAAGTTTTTTTTTTTTGACGAAGGTAAAAACCTCATTGAAAAAAGTTTAAAATTTTTGATATATTATACTTTAAAGATTTTTAAACATCTGGTATTTTGAAACATCTAATGATCAGTTTTAAAAATCTGCTGTTCAATGTTATGCGAATTATCATAGAAATCGACGGAATGGATTTACCATTGCAAATGCGATTTAAAAAGTAAATCACAAGAAAATCCCGTAATCGGGAGCACCGCTGTTGGAAGACATCACATATTCGCACGCTTGAGGGCGCACCATCTGATACCAGGCACCCTTTTTGAAGTACCCTTCCCCGTCTCCAGTTCCCCATGATTACGTTTGGGTGCATGGCACGACGATAAAGTTTGTGTACGGAATCTCCCCTTCGAGGGCAATTGCAGGTTAAGCGACTCCGAGCCGAGCTCGAATGTCAATTAGGTATTTCTTTTATTTTAGTAAGCAAGCACGTAGAGACCGACCGAAACTGTTGATTATGCATGCAAAAGGTTGGATTTTTATAACGCTTAAAGCGCACGAGACACGCAAACTGCCAAGAATGACGCAAGGAGTCAGGTCCCGTCCACAGAACAAAAGGAGTCGTGGGCGGATTACACCGATGACTCATAGGTTACGTGATTAGGTCGAGTGCACAATAAAGTAAATATTAGGTATTTATTTTCAACTCTAGCAGTTGAAGATCTTCAAATATTGCCTTTTCGAATTGTTTTTTAATGTTGATGTCTATTGATACTTTCTCCGTTGAAATGCCTTTTGGGTTTTGGATTCTTCTTTCCCTTTTTGGCGCTATTTTTCTCTCTTATTAATCAGATTTTAATATTTACTTTCTTTCACTTGTGGTTATTTTTTAATAGAGCGACAAACTGAGAACTGTTCTTTCTGAAGAAGATTTTCCATGTAATGCTTGTCTTTATTTAGGTTTAAAATATAGAGGAAAATTCATGCAAGATTAGAAAACCGAAGCTGTCTTTTCATACTCTTTTCCCTCTAGATTGGTTAAACAGGAATATAAATGGTATCTTGTCTATACTTAATTAAAGTACATATATAAAAAAGAATTTTAAAAAACATGTATTAGGGATTTTTTAATATCCCCCTGGACTGCACACTGTTTTTTTTTTCCTATGGCTTCTAAGCAAGATAAGAAAGAACTTAAATGAATGACATTCAATTCAGCTATCATAGAAAAATTGATCTTTTTTCTTTTTTAAAAATTCCAAATTAGAGATATACTTGTGAGGTTATGGTTGAATAGAAATGTTAACACTATCGCCGACTCATAACCATACAAATTTAATAGGCAGCCAATAAAGATAATAGTATGTATGTTATCTCTTTTTTTGAAAGTGTTGTGTCTGTATGAAATAGCTTATTCGAATAAATGCAGCCCATTTAGAGGAAAATCTATAATATAGGAGTGTTGTGTTAATATACATAATTGGCAAGGGGGAAAAGGCATTTTATCCCAGTTCTCGATGATTGTGTGTAAACAAATAAGCATTAAATTAATCAGCCGAATGACATCATTGAATTGGAAAACGGCCCGCGCAGAAAGTTACGTGACAATAAGTAGAATTTTGTTTAAAAAAAATGCTCCCAATATTCCAACATATTACGTGGAGGTCTATCAAAGACGTAACTAATGAGTCAATGAACAAAAACAAAACGTAAAAAATATGTCAATTAGATATGATAATGATTAAAGCCGGCTTTAGTGAGGCTTTGTGTTTGAATTTTCGGACAATCTTGCCTCTCCCACTAAATCTTTTTTTCTTGGCATTTACAGAATTTCGAAATATATTTTTGAGATATGACGTTATTGATGAGTGCGAGTGTCGGTGTTTTTTGTTATCTCTCTGCTACTGTTTATCAATTTAAAGTTTTTTAAATAAATATGTTTCTTATATAAAACAAAGTCAACAAAAGTTCAGACCGAGATAAGCGACATAAGTTTTTTATGTGGGGATCAAGGACTAATCAAATACATAGATTCATATGAACTTACATATCCCCAGATATACATATGTAGAGGGTTCAGTGAACCGATAAAATAGCTGCGAGTCAGCACCCCATATCTGAATGTAGTGATGGAATTGCATGTGTTACCATGTAACCACTAACTATAGAGAGAAGTATGTTTGTCATAAAAATTAATGTCTGCCTGCAATAAAATCACATTGAATGAAAAAACGCACAACGATAGGCGCCTCATAATGAAAACATTTGTATGACTTGCGAATGGCCATAGCTTCAATATACGTACTATATGTATGTATGAATTGTACGTCTAGATTTGTATACACAAAGTGAACGACTGGCCATAAAGACAATATGTTTGTCTGTTTGTCTGTCGCAATATCACTGATAACCAAAAGCGCAATATCAACGTTTTGCCAGCGACCTTGCAATATTGTGGAGGTGGCGGTGAATTGGCATAGTCAGGGGAGGGACATTGACAGAGTAATTAAAATAACATTACATGAGACAATTCAGATGATGGGATGGTGACGAACACACACAGTTACTGAAATCTGTTCAACTGTAACAATAGCTATAAATGTTCAATACGCAATTGCTATCGATTATTATTTTTGTTGTTGTTGTTATATTTATTGGCACTTTTGTAGTTCCGATAAGGGGTTATACTACATATGTGCACAAATTTTCATGATCAATAATGGAAAAATGATTGCGAGTCCATTTAAATAATCATTTCAAATGTATACCTATATTTTTCCATCCATTCATAAGATACTACATTATTCTAAGTTTTTCTGAGCGAGGGCCAAATATAGTATTTGCAGGCTATTAGTCAAAATTACTGATATGGGATTGGAAAATGTATTTATTTATATAGTATGTCATGTGGCTATTAAAATGCGTTTTACAAAGCGATTACACTAAGTGTTGCAATGCACAAAATATAATAAAAATAGCTTTAAAATGGCGCCATTGAAAAGTACAAGGTTACCCGAACATTCTAGTAAAATATCATGAGAATTGTTCGAATACAAGTCAAGTTATAAAAGTGTGGTTTTTGATAATGAGTGCTTATCTCGTAAATTACATGAGGGATTTCCGCTTTGATCATAGATTTGAACATTTTTAGCCGCCAGTAAATGCATATACTATAATTCAACAAAAAACGGGTCTATTCATCTATTAAATATGATTACTTTAGTTCAGCGCACAAGAAAGCTAAATTTAAAATTTATAAATATAAAATTAGCAAACACATGTGTTTAAGTTAATATTTGTTATACTGCTATACTTGGTACGTAGAAATAAAGTCAATATTTTAACAGCTGTGTGTTGGCATATAGAATATTTAAATACATGTGATATTCCGGTTAACAGTTATATTAAAATGTGTTATTGAAGCTTTGTATTTTGTACATTGAGACAAACCACATACTTTATATACTTTATTTGTTATACGTGTATAGGCGTATATCTGAAGGTTCAAATGCCAGGTAAGAGAATAAATTCTAATATAAAGTATTAATAGGAATGAAAATAATTTCGGATGGTATAGTTTGGAATCATGTTTTTAATCACGTTTAACCCAAAAAAAAAATGTACCCTCCCTAAACGTCCAAGCACCACACCGTGGGCGAACATCTTAGTCAGACCCAAAGCTTTTTGTATTATTTAGAATAAAAGGTTGCCTGATTTCTCTTAGCTGGAAATTTAAATATACGGGTACATACGTACATATGTATGTACATAAAAAACTTCCCCACCGCAATACACGGTTCCAATGTTTATTATTGAACCAGATGTTTAAGGGTCACACTTTGCCATAGCTATCGCGTCGTTTTATTATTCTCGTGCAGATAACAAGTACAAAAATGGATTCAGTCTCATTTAAGAATTCTACATTTGAAAATTTCCCACAAGGCCAGAGTTGCTTATCGGGAAATGCATCCAATTGTAGATGGACTCGTTCACAGTGCCCTTACATGCAAGATCTATGTACAAATGCATGTACATATTATGTATGTATGTAGGTACGTGACATAAAAGCGCGTGTACTTATTTATATAGAGAGACGACTACAAGAAATGGCAGCCAAAAGCGTCTGTGTACACAACTAATAAAATGTCAAACTGTGTATGTACACGTACATACATATATATGTATGTATATGCAAACAAACCTACGTATGTATGTGCATACTATACATGCATACTAGTCTTAAAACTAGTTCAAGTGCCTTGCCCGTGCCCTACCCCATTGCAAGCCAAAGAGCGAGAATGATGGCTGAGAGCGAGACTTGAGTCGGCGGCAGGTGCTCGGCTCGTAAATTTTTAGTCGCGCAACGTGGACAACGCATGGCCAGGTTGACGATGTTGACGTTGGCGATTGACGGACGACGCGTAGTTCGTCTGTCCAAAGCTCTGCTTTGGAGACGCGGCTCAATTTCACATTTGCGTTTTGTGCTGTAATTTCATCAACAATTGCTTCCTCCCATCCATTAAGCGAAGCGTCCGGCCAAAGAAAAAACGAGAGACTGTTACAGCGAAGTTACAAGCTCGACAGTAAAACACCCTGTACGTGTTACTCGCAAACCACCGTTAATACCTTTTTAGGGTTTAACCGATTTGAATAAAATGAAAATACAAGGGTTATTTTTTATTTTTAGTTAGTTACATATTACTGAAACCCGAAAGATTAAGTAATTATTATATATTGTTATTTAATTATATATTTGACTAAATAACAATACTTGACAAAATTGTATACATCTGCAAGATATATCACTTGCAAGATAATAAAATGAAAATACCAAATTAAAGAAAACAACATAAAATGTAGAAAAGTTGATTTGGAATTGCGGACAGTATTGACAAAGAAAGGGCGAAAAATAAAATAGCTCGTTTTGCTTTGAAATTATGGGAGCACTATTCACACACACTTTATGGGCTAGGTGTGATTATTTCTGCCTGTTACATAGAATTGCACAAACATAAAATACACTTGTTACCCCTTAGGTACAGAGAATAAAAACGCGCGTAATTCAAAGCTGCTTGAATGAATGCATATATATGTACGTGTCTAACCGATACAAACGTGTACATATACATAAATTGACTGAATGAATGAATGAATATGATTGCCCAAACGATACAAAATAAATAGCAACAACACTTGAGAGCAATGTGTGAAACTAAAAATACAACAAGGGGCGGCGGCGATATGCATACAAACACTTATCTAAATATGAACTGTATTTGTAGCCAAGAATAAAAGAAAAATGCAAACTCCCACAAGAAATACAAAAAGCTTCAACTCATTAGCTAATGTAAAATACATTCAAACATACATTCATACATATGTATGTGTTTATAAAGACATATGTATGTATGTAGATATCGGGCGTGTACACAGAACAATAGAAAAGTAGCGAAGAATACACAAACGACCTCGTGTGCTTGTGTGTGTAGGCTATTTGCTTTGTTTTTGTTGGCAAAGGATTTGAATTGAACAAGAATGGAATGCTATAGTCGGATAAAACCGACTATTAAAGACGCTATACACACCTCCCAAACGAAATGTATTAATTTCTTATATATATATAAAAATAATTACATGTTATTTTTTTTAAATGCAGGGCTCTTTGGAAAAAATGAATCAATTTTTCTGTGCATGTATTCGAGTTTCGTTATTCTAGCTATTAAACTTGCCAATAATATGGTTGTTGCATACATTCGTTATAAACTAGTATACTCTATTAACCTTTTTAGAGTATATTGTATAAAAACCTCAATCTATCAACGACAGCAGCAGCGCAGCTTGTTAGGTCGCTGACGTCGACGCACAAAGAGAGCGCGTTGGTCATTGGATTCTATGAAGCACACACTAACGCACACACATGCACATGCATGGGGGAAACGAGTACACATAAAAAAATGAAATGTATAAAATTTCTTAAATATATGTACGTCCCTCTTATCAGCACACAACATGCCCCCGCTGGCCCCTTGCTCTTGTCGCTACTGCTGACGCAGCAACAAAAGTATCAGCCAGCAGCCATCAAAGTAAATAGGCAGGAAAGCAGCTGCGCAGTCAGCTACACACACTCACACACACTCATACCTACACGCACACATTGAAATTTGCAACGGAAGCATACGGCATACATACATATTTAGGTATTGATGTATGTACATATTTCTAGTGGACCAAGCAAAGGAAGCAGCGCAGTGAGCGTCAGCGATAAATAGACCTGGGGCTACCGGAGAACACATCCAACAACACCACACACTACTGCCACCCAAAGCAAATGTAATTAGCTATGCGGTAGAGATGGACATGGGCCGGCTTCTTTCGTCCCACAACCCAGAACGAAATTTAAGGAGAAAAGACTATGCCTGCTACCATTTCCGCATTCGAATAAATTTGTCGAAATCGATTTAGTGCAATGCTTTAATTTTTAAAAATTAAGGGAATTTTTTACAAAAAATTTCTGTTCCTATTGAAATTAATTCCATATATGTCTCATTATTTATACACGTATATATTTGGCACTTTCAGCTTTAGCTCTAAAATAGCAATTAATAATGACATAATATTGGGAACGACTTATAAGCATAATTTTAAGTAAATAAGTATAACAATAATCCTATATAACAGACCCATCTAACAGATAGTTTAATGCAATCAAAAAGTAGCAACGTTAGGCAGCACTAATATGTATCTCATTGTCTAAAATAAATTTCTTTCAGGCATATCAACTTTGACATTAAAACAATCATTTTTTATCTGAATATATATTTGTATCTTTTTGTCCGCAAAATGGGGGATTATGATACAAGAAAGCGCGTGGCACGCAACAAAAACACGGCCCATGTCCACCACTACTTGGGGCCACACAATGAGAGGCCGAAACTGAAACCTCTCTTACATTCGTACATAGTATGTATGTACATTATTTGCATTAAATGGACACACAACTAACTTACCTTTGGCAAATGTTGCGTTGCTGCTGCTCTGCTGCGGCGCGCTGCCTACTGCAGCATATCTGCGGCGTCGACGTAAGCGCTGCGACTGCTGGAAGTTCAGGTCAAGCGCGCTGCATCAAATGGCTGCATTATTGTGCACTTTTCTCCTCAACTTAATGTTTCATGCCAGAAATTAAACATTAATTGTTTAATTTATAGCTTTTTCGCTCGAATTCAATGCGTGCGTCTCTGGCGATTTATTTCCGTATATGTGTGTGTGAGTAGCGCTCTGCTGCAGCGTTGCGCTGCTGCTACGCGTTCACTTTTTTTTCGCAAACCTCACACAATCAGTTCTTCTTATTCACTCACACGCATGGTCAATTTGATTGATTTTTCACGCACGCACACATACACACCCGAGTGCAATTTTTACCACAATAAAATAAGATTTAGGTTGCGTGGCTTATCAGATTAGTCTGCGTCTGGGGTAGAAGAACAGAGCAGTCAACGTTTTAGCTTAACACTTGGTTTTACACTGACACTGATACTTATACACTTTGTTTGCTCTATATTTTTAATTTTTAGATTCCCAGGGAAAGCCATGTTCACGCGCAGCAAGTCGAATTTATAGTGAGCTACTCCACGTTGTGCTGTGTGTTTTAAGAGCGTGCTAGAGACTATCGATACTGCGATTTTTAGTCACGGTGACAATAGTGAATGTTATCAGTTGTACATGCCCATAACTGCGACTTCTCGAAAATATTTAACTATATCCCAAGTTTTCTAACGTTGCAAATTTTAAACAGAGTACTGTCAAGATTAAAAATAAGTTTCACCTAATTTTAATATTTCAGTTTCCATTTATACTTAAATTATGATTAGAGTGTATTTTATACATAACAATTTGAGGAACACGAAATCGCCAATCAGATATACACGTATAATATAATAATTATTAAATGATTTAACAAAAAGTTGAGAAACAAAGTTAACGATGTATAATTTGGTATGTATGGTAAATACTTGTCACTAAGTCAATAATACATTAAAAGCACCCATCTCTAGAGCTGTAAAACCATCGATAGCATCATCCATGGATTGTTTCGTTAGTGAGCGCACAGAAGTGTTCCATCGATACTATCGATAGTATCGTTAATGCTGTTACAGCTCTAATATCAACCCCGATTGAGTGCGTCGGTCATTAGCGTTATTGGCGTAAAACTGAAACTGTGCATACAAATTAGAAAGAAAAACGCATAAAAAGTGAAGAAAGATGAATACCTTAGGTCCTAAAAAGGACGGAAGTCCTAATATTGAGTTTTTCCAGTCGCCAGAGACTTTGCAGGGGTTCGAGTCCATAAGACAGTGGCTGCAAAAGAATTGTAAAAAAGTGAGTACGAAACAAAAATGGCGCTTCATCAAGGGAAACGGGTGCAAGTAAAATTTTAATTTTTTCTCTAGTATCTTGCGCACAGTTCGGAGCCAATTACGAAAGAGTCACTTTCACAATTGTTGATACATTTCCTGCAGTATGTGGAGGCGAAGCTGGGCAAAAACTCGGCGGAGCCACCGGCAACGCGAATTCCGGTAAGTGTATTGGTGTGGGCACAGGGTGTTGTGGGTGGAGAAAATCTTTTGTATGTACATACGAACGTTAAACAACTAATGGAGGCACCGGGGTTGGTTTTCTACTTTTAGATGCGATGTTTCCTGGATTTCAAAAACGGTGGCGGCCTTTGCATCATATTCTCCACAATGTTTCGCTTTCGTGCTGAGCAACGTGGCAAGAAATTCGACTTTTCCATTGGCAAGAACCCCACAAGGAAAGATCCGAATATACAGTTGCTGATTGAAATCGAGCAGGCGCTGGTGGAGGCAGATCTCTATCGCATACCGTACATTTATATACGGCCAGAGATCGAGAAGGGCTTTGAGGGGCGCTTACGTGAGATATTAGACAATCGGCGGGTGGAAATTGTCACCGATGAAGAGGATGCCACGCATATTGTCTATCCTGTTGTGGATCCGCATCCCGATGAATATGCGCGTCCGATTTTCAAGCGTGGTAATCACGTCATGCTGCATTGGTACTACTTTCCTGAGTCGTATGATTCCTGGACATTAAATAGTTTCGATTTGCCCGAAAATATACCGGAGAATCCCGAATCACCGGCGGAACGTTGGCGCGTCTCAGCCTCATGGATATTGGATCTCGAACAATACAACGAGTGGATGGCCGAAGAGGACTATGAGGTTGATGAGCAGGGTAAGAAGAAGATGCACAAGCAGCGTATGTCCATTGATGACATTATGTCCTTCGGGGATGAGAAGAAGAAACCCAGCACGACCAGTGCCAAACAGAAGCGTCGTCGTTCACCGTCGCCCACTACATCGACATCGAAACCGGGCAAGCGTAAGCGCTCTCCAGCAGTCATACACAAGAAGCCACGCAATGATGAAGAAGACGAGGACCTCACGCGGGATTTGGATGATCCGCCAGCCGAACCCAACGTGCAAGAGGTTGTGAAATCGAACGCAGGTCTGCAATCAACTGCAAGCCCGGCTCCAGGCAGCAAATCTCGTGCAGACAACGATATGATGCCCATTAAAGGTGTGTATTTTCATATCAGAATTCAGTGAATAAACTAAAGTTTTCCTTTTATAGGTGGCACTATGACCGATTTGGACGATGAAATGACAGGGGGTAGTGCGGCCCAAGCACTATCCACTGGCGACGGTGAGAACTCGCAAACGGGCAAGACGAGCGATAATAGTAACACGCAGGAATTTTCGTCGTCGGCCAAAGAAGATATGGAGGATAATGTTACGGAGCAGACGCATCACATTATAGTCCCCTCATATTCGGCCTGGTTTGATTATAATTCCATACACGTCATTGAGAAGCGTGCTATGCCCGAGTTCTTCAACAGTAAGAACAAATCGAAGACACCTGAGATTTACATGGCCTATCGCAATTTTATGATTGACACCTACAGGTAATGCTAACGCAATAATTTGCAATAATAGAATTTGTTTATGTACAATATTTTACATTTGCAGGCTCAATCCTACGGAGTACTTAACCAGTACCGCCTGTCGCCGCAATCTGGCCGGCGATGTGTGCGCCATTATGCGTGTGCACGCGTTCCTCGAGCAATGGGGCTTGATTAACTATCAAATCGATGCCGATTTGCGTCCCACTCCCATGGGCCCGCCGCCCACCTCACACTTTCACATACTGTCGGATACGCCGTCAGGCCTGCAGGCCATTAATCCGCAAAAGACGCAGCAGCCGTCGGCGGCCAAGGCATTGCTGGACTTGGATAAGAAACCGCTGGGCAAAGAGGGTTCGGTGGAGCTGGAAAAGTCGGGAGCCTTGGCTGGCAGTCTGGGCATCAAGACTGAGACATTGGAGAATGGAGCCACCGGCGGTCTTAGCTCGGGCGTCAGTCATTTTGGCCTAAAGCTGGATCAGTATGCCAAGAAGCCGGCAGCAATGAAAAATCGCACGGCAGCCAGTTTGTCGCGTGAGTGGACCGATCAGGAAACGCTGCTGTTACTCGAAGGCCTCGAGATGCACAAGGACGATTGGAATAAGGTGTGCGAGCATGTGGGCACACGCACGCAGGACGAATGTATTTTGCACTTCCTACGCCTTCCCATCGAGGATCCGTACTTGGAAGATGACGGTGGCTTCCTTGGACCTCTTGGCTGTCAGCCCATACCATTTAGCAAATCAGGTAATCCAATTATGTCGACGGTAGCGTTTCTTGCGTCAGTCGTGGATCCGCGTGTCGCTGCCGCAGCAGCCAAGGCAGCTATGGAAGAGTTTGCAGCTATTAAGGTGCGTTTTCAAAGTTTTTTATCATGAATAAATTCATATCGCTGCCTTTTAGGATGAGGTTCCTGCCACCATTATGGACAACCATATGAAAAACGTGGAGAAGGCCTCTGTTGGTGGCAAATTCAATCCAAATTTTGGTTTGGCCAACAGCGGCATTGCGGGCACCGGTAATGACAAAGAGGACGATGAGAGCAAAGAGGGCGGAACCGGCACTGGCACAACCAACGACGAGGAAATGAAGGATCTGACAAAAAAAGATGGTAAATCAATCAGAGCTTATACACTAGATTCTTGTAAAATGGGTCCATATATTAAAATCCCCGCAACATGTTGAGACGAATTACTATTTTGATGACTAGCAATTTCATTTTTGAAGAGAATTTTATTAGTTTTGGTATTTAACACCATATCACTCATTTTATATATTTCTTGGAGGTATTTGTTAACCTAATTAAGAAGCCGACTTTAGAAACAAAACCAAATCATATTTTGTTTCCGTTTACACGTAACTTTCCACACCTTTCCAAAATATTTCAGTTCTTTCACTAATAAAGAATAGAATTCTCTTCAACATTAAATTAAAATAAATAATTAAATAGGCTTTCAATGTTTGGTTTAACTTGGCGTAAAATAGTTTTATTCGATCCAAATGTAGACCTGCCCCTCCATATAGCCAGGACTCGTTTGTACGATACTGAAACCTGCTACTCATTTTGAAAATTGTATTCTATTTACATACGATACGATCATTATATTATTTTACATTTCTTTTATTTGCAAAATTAACGCGCTTCCAACAACTATTTGGCCTTTTATAAAATATTGTTTTTGTTTGTACAAAAAATTAAAAAACAACAACGAACACAATACCAAAGACGATGCCAAGTCGAAAGACAAAACGAAAACGGATAAATCGAACACAGCAACAAATACAGACTCAAATAGTAGTAGCACATCAACCACCACCTCAACCAACCCCACCACCACCAACATCAACACTGATAAGAAATCAAAAGAAGCCTCATCCGATAAAACGAGCAATGCCTCAAACAAAACGGCTTCCAACTCCTCACCCACAGAGCCCGGCGTCAGCGGCACTGGTCCCAACACCACCAGCAGCAGCGATGTGGAGATCAAGACCGAGGACAACAACAGTGGCGATGGGGAAACAAAAGACGGCAGCAGCGATGGAAGTAGTGGAGGAGCAGGCGCAGGTGCTGCTGGCAAGGACGGCGCCTTCAGCGAAAACAACATGCAGACAGCAGCGGCCGCAGCTCTTGCGTCCGCGGCCGTGAAGGCCAAACATTTAGCCGCCCTGGAGGAGCGGAAAATCAAGTCTCTGGTGGCACTGCTTGTCGAGACGCAAATGAAGAAATTGGAAATCAAATTGCGCCACTTTGAGGAACTCGAGGCGACAATGGAGCGCGAGCGTGAGGGTCTCGAGTATCAGCGACAGCAGCTCATCACCGAGCGCCAGCAATTCCATTTGGAGCAACTAAAAGCGGCCGAGTTTCGGGCCCGTCAACAGGCCCACCATCGCCTCCAGCAGGAACTTCAACAGCAGGGTCAAGCAGCAGCTGCCGCAGGCTCAATGATTCTCCAGCAACAACAACAGCAGCAGCAACAACAACAGCAACATCAGCAGCAGCAACTCGCAGCCCCTTCAGCTCAACACCAACCGCTGGCCCCGCACATTGGTGCTGCTCCCGCTAATGGTGGCTCCTTTGCAGCGCCTCCAAATGTCACACCCGGCGCCATCGCTAGCAATCCCAGCGCGCCCTCAGCAACTGCTGATCAAGCGGTAGCAGCGCCAGCAACAGGAGGAGGCGGGGGAGGAGTAGCAGCAGCGGCAGCCACTCAGCCAACAGCACCCACGCCTATGGGTAAGTCCTAGACCTGCAAAAACAAAATAAAACACACCTAAATAATTATTTATTAATATTTAAATTTCTCCACTCATCTTACTGGGCCTCACTTAATCAAATTGTAATATTACAGATACCACACCGCCAGCAGCTGCAACCTCTGGGGATCCTGCCACGCCTGCCAATGCGCCCGGACAACCGATGCCGCCTGTCTCAAGCATTCCACCAAGCAGTGTAGCAGCAGCAGCAGCAGCTCCCACTTCAACTTAAACTTTTTAGGCTTAAGCAGATAAAAATACTTTAGTTTGTATGTTACCCCTAATTAACAATGTCTATCTACATCGCTCCCCATCCCCCATTGCATTCGTACTGTAATTGTCCTAAACTGGTAAGCAAATCCCCCCTTGTAAGCGTCTTCATTTGTGTGCGAACAAAGAGACATTCTTGTATCATGTTTGAAACCCCAAATGGCATTCAGTAAAATAAAATTATATTCAATAATTGAATTTCAAATATGAAGAACTTTTACTTAGACATAGAGGGTTTGAAGATCACATTTCAACCTAATTATATGTAATTGAATGTGGTATATTTTCCGGAACACGAACTATTTGATACAGGCAGACTAAACTTGGAACAGGATCTGTGTAAAGGTTGGTCGAAATTAGTGGAGAGGAAGGGTCTTTATAACTCAAATTAATTCTAAAAACGCCGATATTGCTCAAGTTCTATTCCCATTGTATCTATTTAACGTTGTATATTGATTTCCAGAAGCTACAATAAAAATTGACTCTTTTCTACACGCTCTTTCTCCCCACTATCTTAAGCTATCATAAAACTAAAATATTAAGGATCTAAATAATCCGACATGTAAGCATCAGGCGCAATAGTTTGGGAAACTAATTTAACAAACCATTTCATTTAATCTGAATTAAAATCAAAATTAAAAATCATCACTTTATTTTTTTATGTGATCCGATTTTTAAAAAATAAAAATTAACTTTAAAAAATAATATTAATATCTATAGTTAAATTATAAACTTAGACAAAATCGACTAATTTTGTACGAATGTGTAAAAGGAAGGGAAAATTAGATGAAAGGTCTTTAAAAAATGTTTAAAACTAAAAATGGAATTCAATTTATATGTTTAAATGTAAATGGATTTCAAGTATTTGTAGCTTGGATGCTATTTTTGATATCTATTTATAGGTGCAGAGGTATATGTACAACGTTTGTAACAATATAGCAATGAGGCACAACGCGAAAGTTTACTCGACGATTACATTTTAATCGCCATTTTATATGTTATGTTTAAGTTTCAGTTTCGAGTTCTTAGAATTAAGGCTCCCTCTGAAGCCGTGTTCAGACAGGCCAATAGTTTGCACAGAAATTTGTCGAGCTTCAATAACAGTTCTTTATTTTACGAATTTCATCAAATTAGATGAAATCGAAATTGGTAATGTGTTTTTTTTTGGAAATGCTATCAAGTTATGCGGTTTGCAAAGTTTTTTTTTTATCGGATAGTACTTTAGCAATTAGTTAAAACACAATAGTTGTCGTTTTTTGATCAACAGTGCTCGAAAGAATACAATTGGGTGGAGGAACTGGCATTCGTAGTTTTTTGTTTTGTAAATATGGACAAAATTTTCAGTTTGCACAATTGAATTGAATGCGGTAATGAGAACAGGTTCTGTTTTTTCTGCGACAGCCAACTTCTTTTCGACGTTTAAGAATGCACAAATTTTTGTACAAATTATTAGCAGGTTTGAACGCAACTTAAGACTTCTAAAGTTTCCTAGAGCTGCCACAAATGCAGCCAAATAGTAATGGGCACGAATAATGAGACTTATTCTCTATACTTTTAAAAAATAACTAGAATTTCTACTGATTGGCCGTGGATCGTCGTAGTATGTTTGGTCGCTTGGGCTGATAGTGTTGGGGGCTGGATTTATTAAAGGAGTAGGAGCGCTTCTTGCCCGACAATGCGTTCTCCGTGGCCTCAGCTATCAGTGTGGTGCAGTTGCAAGTTTGATCGCACATCACAGGCACGGTCTCTGACATTAAATAGAAATTGTGATTCGGACTGATCTGGCGATGAGTGTGTTCCATGGCAGGCTTCTGATTGGGCTGCAGAAGAGCTCTCACACGGAGACGGCATTTCAGCAGTTGGGAGTAGAAAGTCATCAGAGGTATATAGACTTGATTGTAGAACGCTATTATGTCGCAGGGTGCGCCCTCCATTGGCACCTCCCGATAAACGCTTCGGCGCATATACGGCTGTCGACGATAGACCTGCAGGATCTGTGTAAAGGTAAGTCTCAGACCAGCCATACAACCGTACATATATATGGCACAGATGATGAGTTGATCCAGATGACGTTGTCGCAGAAGCTCCGAGCCATGCGCCGTCACCGAATACTCCACAATATGCCACATGTGGCTAAAATCCATGGGATTGCCAAGCAGACCCAATGGCTTGCAGAGATCGTGGAGGCGTTGCGAGGCCAGCAAATAAAATTTGCGCATACAAATAATCACTGATTTGTGTGTGATGTTAACACATTTGGGGACATTCTCTTTATCTTCAGACTCAGTGGTGTCCTGCAAATTCCGATAGTGAGGCAATTTGTCCAGCTGCCAAAGCTGCGAGTCTCTGCGCCAAATGTGCGTGGCCAGACATTCCGTCTCCACAGACTGCAGATGCCGTATCAGCGCCTGTGAGAGCAGACCATTATGGTGGCGCACCACCAGTTCGATTATCTTCTGAAACTCAAAGGCCTCAATCTGATAACATTCTAGCACCCACGGGAATTCCAGCGTCTTTTGACCGCATATGTGCAGCACCAGTTCGAGACAACAGGCAATCAGAGTGGCGTTGAAAGTGCGCTGAACCAGCAGCTTCGTTATTTTCAGGCCGGGCTTGCGCTGCAGCTCCGCTTTTATAATACTGTCTAGCAGTTTGTAATAAATGGCGCTGCTCAGTCCAAAGCGACGCTTCGCCTCTTCGTCCGACAAATGGGCGGTGGTTTCCGCAGCAGTTCCAAATTTAAGCGCCATGTCCCGCAACGTGTTTTGAATATTGGTTAGCGAATTGGCATCATCTTTATCGATCGCATCACGTATGTGGGTGGGCAGGGTTGGTGGCAGACCATTCCCATGCGTAAGCAGCTGATAAAGATTCATACGTTGGGCCTCACAGAATTTATGACCTTTAAAAGAACGGATGTTAGGGGCTAGGATCAATCAGCACTATTTGAAATTTCAATAAAGTAAACAAATATATGACCAAACAAGTTACCTTCAATCATCCACAACTTTGAGTTCAGTTCCTTCAGCGGCGCATCCTTTGCAACTTCCTTTTCCTTAGGGTTTGTTTGTGGTTCAAACTTTAGGAACAGACGTTCGTCCATTTCATTTATGTCGGCCACAAATGTGGCATAATTACGATTTAAGCTCGTCAGATTGACCTCTAATAGGCCATCCTTAATAAGCTCGCGCATGTGAGTGTGATTCCCCACCAGACGCTGCTCCGAGAAAAACATCATTATCGTCTTGCGAAAGAAAGAGTTTCGGACTACAACGACACCTGATACTGGCAAATCGGGTATAAGCGCACCTATCTTGTCGATGGCACAGTATCCATGCAGGCTTAGGATATCAAAATTTTCCTCTGTCCAATCCTTAGGAATGCCAGGAAATTCCCTATTGATTATCTTCGATTGGTGCACTTCAAGTGCATTGACATAGACCAGCTCCAGAGTGCACACGAGCAACTGAAAGCTAGTTATTAAATTAGTTACAGCGTACTCCGGCAGCTCGTTCCGGACGACCAGGAAGAGCAGCCAACCAAACTCATATATTGCTTGATATTCAAGCAAGTCCTCCTCTTTGGAGGCATCGGGTTTTAAGTAAAGTTGTTGGAAGACGTTTTTGTAGTGACGCAGCAGCAGTTTATCTATGCTAAGTCGCCTCTGCAGATTTTCGATTCTTTTTTTAAAAGTGTCCGAATGATGAGCGAGCATATTCCAATGCTTCATTTTTTGCAAGAAGACGTTAATGCCAATATTAAAGCAGCGCAGTAGATGTGACAACGACATATTCCAGCTATTGCATTGGGAGGATTTTGACCAATATTCCTGCTGCTGGTCTCCGCTATTTTTGCGTTTGGCTCGGGCAGCGACAGCTCTGGATAACATTTCCTTCATCCTGGCCTGCTGGAGCTCGCTATAGATGGCACAGCAGAGCCACAATTGTGCATCTTCTGGACCGTTTATTTTGAATTCGCGATATGCTTGCAGCGCACCATTCTGTATGTCTGGCGGCAGGTCGAGACGTTCGAATATTTTTCCAAAACTCGTATCAAGGATGTCCAATGCCGGCTTAACAACATCGAATGGCGTATTAGTAACGCCATTAATATCCGTCATTTGTATGCTGCACACATATAAAACTTAAATTGCAGGTGCAAATCGCGCCACTTGTTTATTTCATTCCACCTTACCTTAAAATATTAGCTCCGTCCCTATTCCGGCAAAACAATTTCAATGCGTGGCGCGTAAATCGTACTCAATGTCAAAATGCTACGCAGCACGATAAAGCAGAGGAGTATTTTGTTATCGGTTACTTTGCAACGAGTACATTGTCAAGTCACAAGACAGCAGTGATAAAATATCAATTTAACAGGTACATTATCCTAAGCGAATATAAGCGGAAGAAGTGTTTAATTTAATCGTAAAAAATTGTTTATTTAATTAATGTTATTAAATCTGCAAGTTTTACTACTAGTTATTTCAGATAAGTGCTCGGTATAAGAAGCTCAGAGATTCCAATTTGATTTTAATCTAAGTAATTTTGATATATAATGAATATAATTAGATCAAATTATTATTGTATTTGGCGCCATTCACGTAAAATATTTAGTATCAGTGACTCTGAATGCTTCGTATTTGTTTTAGGGATGTAAGCAAAAATCGATGTATCGGGCATCCACCATGTTTTCAACACAATGCATCGATGTTTTTTTGCTTGCGATACATCGATCTATCGAGGTTTGTCCGAACATGAAAATTTGTATGTTTTGTTTCAGTGTTGCCAATTTGGCATTTTGGGAATGCCGAAAGAATATGAACAATGAGATGATTAATACACATTTTTTATTTTAAATATCCCTGTTGATTTTCTCCCTAATATGAGCCTCTTTTTCAATGATAAGTTAATTTTTTAAAACATCGATGTTTTATGCGACCATGCAGCGATTGTTTTTAAAGACACATCGATGGCGATCGACATCGACTCTTCCACTTGCATTCCTAATTTGTTTATAAAAAATGCTGAAGTCAAATCGGGAATTGCAAAAGGAACAGGTCAGACTGTATGACATTGAAAAGAAACTGGTTAATGTACTGCCCATTGTGAAGGAAGCTCTTAATTCGCTTAAAGTACGGCCGCGCTGTACAGTTGTTTGGCCGAAATATACTAATGATAGTGTACATTTAACTGCAGGTCGAGGAGTTGCATTTGAAATCGTTGGCGCTGCAAGGCATAATGGAGAAAGATACATTGGCCCAGACGAAGCCATCCACTATTGACATAGGCTGCTCCAATGAACTTATAAATAAACAGAAAATGGATTTGGATGTGGACAGTTGGGCAAAACTACAACTTGATGAATTCGAGGACGAATCGGATTAGCAATTATTTTTTAATATAATTTCATGAAAAGTTAAAGGTGTAGGTTAACACATATACAAACTGTAAGATATTTGTAATCCGAAGCAGACATGAACTAAACTACTAAAGCTAATTATGTGTATGCACTAAGAGTTCTACTTTTGTTGACAAAATTCTTCATAAATCTTGTGTACTGCCATCGGAAGAAGCCGTGCTGCTGTGACGCTTTTTCTTTCTGGGTTCGTCATCACTGCTATCGCTGTCGCTGCTGGAGCTAGAGCTGCCACTGCCGCTGCCACCTGAGGAGCTTGATGATGATTGGCTGTCATCGTCGTCGTCATCGGAGCTAGAATCGCTGCTATTCGAATCCGAGGAGTCCGAACTGCCTGAATTTGAGCTGCTCGATGAGCTAGATGACGTAGAGCTTTCACTGTGCCTGCGTTTTCGGTGGGCCCGCTTACTCCTTCCACTCCGCCCTTCTGTTTCCAACGCGTTTGTTTCATTGCTGGTGGTCGCCGCCATCTCAGCTGCTGCTGCCGTTTTCTCCGCCAGATGCTTGTCCAGCTGCTTGGTGCGCGAGCTCCGATGAACATACTTTCGTTTCTCCTTGCACTCATAGCTCCAATGACCCATCTGCAGGCATTTCTGACAACGTATCCCATTGGGGAATGCTGCCGCCAGCTTCGATGCCCTAAAAAAGTTAGTTGTTCAGTAGTTTAGTGTTTGCTTGCCGGCGCCTTTGGCCTTAATATGTTTACCGTTGTTTCTGCGCCAATTTACGCGCTGCAAGTCCTAGCAACGTCATAATGTAGTATTTTCTGAGGCGCTGTTTAGACACAATTTTGACGGCAGATATATTAAATTGATGGGAAAGGAAAAAATCGTCAATTATTTCCCAGATGTATTCAGAATTTACAAGCTGCCATGCCACCTCGCCGAAACATAAAGCCTTAGAGTGGCAACGCCATGTAGAGGTCCGGCTGGTATTATTTAGTATTCTCCAAAACAGATGTTTTTTTTTTCATCTCGTCAAAACTTTAATTTCCCAATTAAGTGGCAACACGACGATGGAGTCATGGTGGTATTATTTAGTATTCTGCCAAAATGAACTGTTAAATAAATAAATAATAATAAAATATAAGAAATGGCAAATTGATGTGATGTGAGTGCAAAATAATGTTGTATAACCTTGTAAGGCGGAGTTTGAAATACAATTCATAGTTAGCTGGTCAACGCAGCTTCAAGATTCTGCTCGACTTTTGGGCAACAACAAATTTGGAGCAGCAAAAAGAAAGCAAAGTGCAACAAAGACGAAATCTTAGACACTAACACAATCAAAAGTAATTAGTCAACTCTTAAGTGGTAATCAATAGTTAAGCTCAATTACGTTTTCTTACAGATTGGCTTGATTACTAAACAATGGGAGAGTCATCAATTGTGAGCATGAGGAGCGGTGGAGGTGAAGCGCGTTTCATGCCACCCGAAGAGCTGGCGATGCAATCGTTAATCAAACAGCTTTATAAATCTCGCCTGTTTCGCGGCTTTTACATCGGACGCTGTTACGTTGATCAGGTCGAAGGCTATCGGGATGTAATAGCTCTGTAGGTGGTATTATTTAAAATTTTACACATTTTTAATAATAATGTGTTGCAGGCAGCGTAGCGAACGTGAGCTTGAGAAACAATTGCTTAGCAGTGCATCGAAACTTCAGCTTTTTTATCAGCGTTTTGTGCCCAATATGTTTGTGGGCATCACAAAGGGCAATATGGGCAGCTATACCCACACACCGCACCCTTCACAGCTAGACACTTGCATCTGGACGGAACTGAATGACTTGGCTTTTGGCGAGTACTGGTTTAGCATAAAAACGCTTCGATTTCGGGATCAAGAAGTGTCCCTCAAACTAAAAATGGTGCGACCTGTAGAGACGGAGCTCCAACAAACGCGCAGCATCAGCATCGCTACCACCACCAAAGATATGCGAGCATCATCTTCAAATCTTGCTACATCACAGCCTAAAGCGGCAGCGGAAGGAACCGAAAACCAGCGTCAGTCAGAAATAGGTTTGTCGGATTTTTTGGCTGTGCTACAGCAATGGGGTGATGGCATCAAGCTTACCATCTACGATTTTATGGCCAACGATGTGAACAAACGTAATATTGTGGGTACAATACGGTTTCTTGGCCTGCTCATCTTCTCCGCATTAAGTGGCGCTGTTGTTGCTTTACGATTTTTAGGCATTTTTACGTTGCGCTTCCTCTTTGAACTCAGCCGTTTTACACACACCGCAACACCCATTCTCTTCAAGATAATTGAGTTTATTAACAAGATTTTCGGTGCGTTCTTCATATTGCTAACGATGATTTGGAAGGACCTGATGATGAATCGAGGAGGAGGCGGTGGCGCACCACCACAGTCGAAGCAGGCCTTGGAGGCTGGCCAACGGTTTCGGAGTATAGCCTACGAATCCTCGGAAGCCACTTATCGACGCAGTTCCCGTCATAAATCAACAAATTTACTTTAGTGCAATTTAAAATGGGCTTTAAAACACTCACTTAAATTTGGGGTATTGTTTAATTATGGCTTTTGTGTTATTAGTGTTATCTTAAAATTGTGGCTGCATGTAAGTTAAAGGGACCCTTTGCATATGGGAAAAGAATTCAAGTTGTCGTCCTTTTAAAAATTCTCTTTAGCAAACTTACTTTTGTGAGTTACCAATCAGTTAAATTAATCTCTGTGTTAATTTAATGGGTATTGTTTCGAAATTTTGTATCATACTGTATTCATAGGTTTTAAATTATTTCGAAGATTAAAATTTTATGTGAATAAAGTTATTAAAATAAAAAATTTAATTATTTAATCCTTTTATTATAAATTGAATTATTATGCTATGGTTCGATATATTCCAATATACTTAATTTATAGCTGGTGCAACATAATTAACAAATAATTACATGTCATAGAACAATTTAAGTAATAATTAATTATTTATTTAAAATATGAAATCAGATTTTTGCATTTTTAAATTACATAGTATTTGCCTTTTCATGGGCAGCACTGTCAAACGTAGGCAGGCAGTGATAACAGTGTGTACACATCCAAAAAACATGCTTAATTGGTGAAATCTCAACAGATGTGCTTGTTATTGTTGTTCTTATCGGTTGAAACGTCATTTATTATTCACTAAATTACTGGCATAATAAGCAATAATGGCACTTATTCCACCCGTGACACGCCTCACATCATCTATAATACGGATATTGGGCTGCAATCCCAGCCCCATGACCCTGCAGGGCACCAACACTTATCTGTTGGGCACCGGTAAAAAGTGAGTTAAAAACAATATATTTCTGAGACCTATCTTTACTAATTATACACACATACAGGCGTATACTGATAGACACGGGCGATGAGAATGTGCCGCAATATATAGAACATTTGAAGGGAGTGCTGAAACAGGAGCAAGCAGCGATTAGCACTATAATATTGACGCATTGGCATCACGATCATGTAGGCGGAGTGAAGGATATAGTGAGCCAGAAATTATCGGAGGAAGGTATGTATGCGTATGTCTTATTTGATATATCAATCGGTGGCTGGCTCTATGTGTTTGCGTTTATTCGTACTCGTTTTTCTTGTAATTTCCCCTCTAAAGTACCATCCCATGTAGATTGTAAAGTTTACAAATTTCCACGCACTGATGCCAGCGATGTATGTCCTGAGATACCTGATAGTATAAAGGTGCAAAAGTTAGCAGATAATCAGGAATTTGCTGTCGACGGCGCCAAAGTACGAGTCCTGCATACGCCAGGGCATACGACGGATCATGCGGTGCTTACCACAGACGATGGCACGCTATTCAGCGGCGATTGTATACTGGGTGAGTTTGAAGAGATTTTTCAAAAACGACAGATTTTCCTGAATATGGTGCATTTTCTTCAAAAGCTTTCAATTGAATTATAAAATCGTGTAGGCTTATGTAACAATCAAAAGTTTGGTGCTACGATGGCTAGATAAGTCTAGAACTTTCGTAACGAACCAATATTTGTACATCAAAAGAAATGTTCTAATATTCCATATTTTTTATGTTTTCCACCACATTCTATCATTAGAAATTATATCAAACCCTTCAAAATATTTAAAAAAATATTTATTAATATTAATTTTAGGTGAGGGCACGGCTGTCTTTGAAGATCTGTACTACTATATGCAAAGTCTGCACAAGATATTGGATATTAAGCCGCAACGCATATATCCCGGTCATGGCAATGTGATTGATGAGCCTGTGGGCAAAATCCAATATTATATAAATCATCGCAATCAGCGCGAACAGCAAGTATTTAATTTCTTTGTGGAGCGAAAAAACGCGAATTGGCAGGCTCTGGATGTGGTGCGTGAGGTCTACAAAGAGACTCCGGAGGAACTGTGGCCCGCGGCCGCCTACAATGTGGGACATCATTTAAGCAAGCTTGAAAAGGAAGGAAAACTGCTTTCTGGCGAGGGTAGCGATTCGGATGTTAAATACTATCGATATCAGCAGACCAGTGCTCTGTGATTGTTAAATTCTTTGTCTGTTTTGATATGTGCGAGATAACATTAACATGTTTTGTGCAATAAATATACATCGAACACCGAAATGCCTATTTTAATTATTGTTAAAAACATATTTTTTCTGGTTTGTTAATTGAAACATATGATATTTTTTACTCTAACAACAAAGTTAGATTAGCATTTTATAAAGGGCTTGGAATCGTCTTTGAACAATTTTGAAAATAATATAAATCAGTAATTGCCCCGACTCCCAATCTTTCTAATAGAATAAAGTTGATCCTTCCATGAAATGTTCCTCATCATTGTAGAAATGTGATTAAGCTTAAATTTCATTCAGGCCGGAGGTGGTTTATTAAATCGACTTTAATTGTTAGGAGAGCGAAATAAGTCAGTGATTCCCCCGAGCCCCAATCCTTGGAATGGAATAGAAAAGCACACAAATTTTTGTTTTTTTTGTTAGATTTAATAGTTATACACTTTCCCTTTATTACTTTAGTTGATGTTATTTTCGCATTAAATCTTGTCATGCACATACATATACATATACTTATACATATATATATATTTTTTCTTTGCATATGTGTATATATGCATGATATATATCTCATATATCTGGTTGTTGTTGTTGCTGTTGTTGTTGTCTGTTTGTCAGCGGCATATTTTGGCCACAAAACTTTACACAAGAGTCGGTTTATTGAGTGTACTTTCGTCTAGGTATTGTTTGCTCTAAACTTCGGGTACTGGTACCTCCATTTGTATGCGCATTTGGTTGGTATTTTGGTTTTAAACTTTTACTAAATCTTCTGACTTGACTTGCGTTTTAAGTTTCGCTTTTTTTGTTTTCGTTTGCTATGGCATTTTAGGAGCTTTTACTTTCTAACATTTTAGCTTGTCAACGTGTTTATTTTTATATTTTTTCTGCGCCATCCTCGCTGTTTAAATATTATAATTAATAATTATACTTTCTGTCATTATTAAACAACTAAATTATACGATTTGCTTTCGGTTTTTCTTCATCTGTGATATAATTTAATAAGTACATATGTAATGCTTTTTCTCCTTTTTTTTTTGTATATAAATATTCTTTTTGGAATACACTGCTGTGTGTGTGTGGGGGAGTGTGTGTGTGTTTTTCACGAATGCAAATGCAATTTTTCATGCTTCAACGAACTTTGCTCATAACCTTTTTAACTTTTGGTATTATTATTATTTATTTGTTGTTAATAATAATTTGTATGCAGACAATAAAATATGTGTATATGCCTTTTGATATTTTGTAAAACTTGTTGTCAACATTAGTTATTATTTATTTGTCGTTATTTGTTTAAACATATTATTATTATGCTGTTATTAGTATTATTATTAATTTACTTTAATTGCTGCACTTTTTGCCAACTTCATCTTCATTAAAAACTCACAAAGTAAATACAAATTTAAAATATGTTTTTGTTTATGGTTTTTTTTGTACATGTCATTAACTTTTACTTTTACTATTTGTTTTTTTTTTTGGGGGTTTTAGTTATTACGAGTATGCTTAAGGTTTTCATTGCTAACAAATAATTATACATTCATAGCGTTTCATTTAACTTTTGGGGTAGTCTGCGGAAAATAATTTTGTTTTTAACAATTAGTTAGACATTTAGAGCAAAAACATTGATAATATAGAATATTTTCGTTTTTATTATTTGGTTTTCTTTTCTTTTCTTCGCTTTGCTTTTGTATGCATAAAATTTTGTCTAGTGAAATATATAAATATAAATATATTTGTTTTAAATGTTTTGAACTGCTTATTGTTTATAATTGCGTTTTTTGGTATTTGTTGTTTACTTTGTTGTTAATTGCAAATTTCTTGTGTGTTATTTTCCAATTAGTTTTTGTTTGGCATTTCAAAAGGAAGTTGTTATTGAATAGTTGTTGGAGCATTGAATAAAAACTGATCAGTAAAGTTCGAAGCAAACGTTTTGAAAGAAACTCTTCAAATTTAATTAAAAATGTTAACCCATTGTGGTGCTGTTTTTTTTTTTTTACTTTTTTTTTGTAATCAAATTTTTATATTGCCAGTTCGCATTTTGGAATCACCGGGCCCCAGCGGCCTTAAACTTAATGCCACAAAGAAATTATATGTTCTGTGGCTTCTTTTTGTGCATCTATCGCTAAATTTTGCATTTTTTTAAAAATTGTTTTCTTCTAAAGTTTATCTATGCTTTTTTATTAAAGGATTTTGAAAAGCTATGGGCTGTATTGGTGAAATAAAATGGGAAAGAATGACAAAAATTGGAATTAAAACTTTGCAGGAAAACTGATTGGGACTTAACAATTGTTTTTTTTTTCATTTTTTATTCGTTTCTCGTATAATATTTTTACATAGTTCAATATATATATATATATTGTTTAATAATAATTTTTTACACATTAAATTCAAATGCATTAATTTATATGTATATATATATATTATTTATTTATAGTTAATAATATTTATATATATATATGCGCTTGTGTATAATTTATTTATAAATATAAATAACAAAAAGTTTCCCTTTGAAGCGTTCTTTTTTTCTTTCTTTCTAGCTTTGTTTAAATATTATTTATACGAATTGTGTTATTCCTTTTGCCTCTTCACTATATTTACCAATTTCTTTGTTTCTCTTGTGTGTTTGTTGTTGTTGTTTAACCTCTTTCGAAATTCATGTATTTATCTATATATATATATGTCTATATATATATATATATATATATATATAAATGTATTTATAGTTCACTGTTTGTCATCATTTCGTGTGCTGAACAATTGGCAAACGATTTGGAAATTGCAAAATTAATTTAATTTATTAATTTTTTGTTTTGTTTTCTGCAATTTTGGTTATTTATGTCTTTGTTTCTGCCGAAAGTTGAAATATTTAAGGAGCTTTGTTTTTAGTGTCTTATATCATGTTTTAAGGTAACTGAATAAAATGCTTTGCTTTTAGAGTTCTGCCAATTTCTCAACCAACTTTTCCAATAGGCCCCGAGGAGGCATGTTCTATATACATAATCAATATCTTTACGCCAACACTAGAATAGCGTAAAGAAGGCCTCGTCTCATTGATAGCCCAACATGGTACGTTTAAGGCTCTTCAAAGTTCTGTCGGTACACATATTATAGTATAGTATAGTTCGGAAATTAGTTGGGTTCAGTAAATAAAAGAAATATTGTTAAAAAATAGAATGGAAAGGAAAGGAAAGAAAAGTAGTATAGTTATAAACTTAGAGCCAACTTAGAAGAAACTACGATATAAGCTCTTAATTACTTTAAATCATCGGTATCCTCAATTAAATCCGCATACTCTTCCTCCCAATCGTTGTTTGTTGAACGTGTGCGCAAATTAGATATTGTCGGTGCTTCCTCCTCCTCTTCCCCATCGGCCAGATTGTTGCGTTTGGCCGATCTTCCGGTGCTGGTGCTGGTGCCACCATCGTCGACAACTTCATAGTCTTTAAGTTCAGCCTCCAAATCCTTTTCCCATTGTTCCTCTATACAAATAAAAATACGGGACAGATATAAATTAAAAATCTATTAAATTTGTTAAATTAAATTTGATATCAATAAATATATGTGTATATATAGTAGCTTAGATAGGCATACTTAAGTGGCATATATCATGGAATATATAACTAGTATATGTATATAATTAATAAAGTTATAGATTAGTAAGTGTGTTACAAGCAATTTGTTCGTTTTAGTGACCTCACCAAGCAAGTACATGAGCATACTCAGTTTACCTCTTAAACTCTTACTGGACACCCTCAATTAGTGATAATCGTCTGCTCTATAACTAAGACATAGGTTTTCACAGACGGTTATACGTTTTGGTATGCGCACCGTGACTGAAAAGTAGTCCGCTACAAAGATTTCAAATTTGATTAAAGCCAATAAATCGAGTTCTCCATCACAATATTAAATATTAAGGAGTGTACTTTTTACAGGATATTCCAAATTCTTGTTGACTGTAGTGTGCAGATAACCCACGCACCAAAATAAATAGGCCATGGTATCCGGAATTATATACAAACAAGGTTAGGAGATTCCAATTCCTTGGTGGGTGCGTTCCTATATTAAAAGCATTTCCCCTACTTAGCAAAAAAAAAACAAAAAAAAAATTTCCAAATGTCGTTTTATGAATAATAATAATGTCTATGATCATAAGATCATCTTAATCATCATCTTTTAATCTAATTACGTTTTTCGATCAACTTTGTTTATTTATAACTCTTTAAAAATGAACCGTATAATATTCTGCATAGCCAGGTCGGTCAGAAATAACATTGCCTCAAGAATTCTTTAAGTTGAAGTTGTTAGTTTGTCATGACTTGCTTGAAGTCTCCAAAAGTTCCAAATAAAAGAATAAAAATTGGAGTGGCCAGCAGGCGTGAAATCACATTTAATCACACGATTGCGGTATCCTTTTGCGCATATATTTATGTATAATTATAGTAATAATATTAAATGAAAATAAATTTGTGTATTTACAGCATTTTACATAAAAATGATTGAAATTAAAGGCAAGCATTAAGTATTTTGACAATACAAGTAGTTTATAAAGAAGCACGCCAAATATGAAAAGCACAACAATCTACAGAAATAAAATCGCTTTCAAATTAATTGAATGAATATATATATAAAGTAAAAATAAAATGATCGGTTCTAGCTATACACATATGTATATATGCATGTATATAACTGACAGGAAATCGGAAGTATTTTCAAAATTGGTTCTGTACAATATTTCGGCTTTAAAGTTACCCTCTGTTTGAACAAAAGTTGTTGGTGTTTAAGGGATAGACTGGCTTATGTTATTTAAGAGGTTTTCGATTTTCGATTTTGTGTGGTGAGTTGGTTTTGGAAAAAATATATATTCAAATATATTCCTTAAATATTGTGTCGAATTGGCTTAAGCAAGCGTGATTTTAAATTTTGTATTTAAAATTTCGAGTGCATTTAAAAAGCTTTTAACGTTTTGTTGTGCAGTTCCATTTCTTGATTAAATAAGGGACTGGCCTATTCAATCTAGTATAAGTAAGTGCCGAAGAAACGAATAGTTCGACATCTATAATGTGTAATTCCAAATGATAATGGGGGTAAACAGTTCTTCTGTTCCAGCTCCAATTCTGGCGCTTCTCCTTATATCTGTTTATGTAATATTTGTTTATAATTGATAATATTGTTTCATTATCTATAGCCTAACTGGCCTGTTGGCCACTTGACATGTCGTTTTGTGGGGGAACTACGGGTAAAACGAAAATAATGAACAAAATATTGCTTACAATAATTTGAAATGCTAATATGAATTTAATAATAACTACTTCTTTTGAAATATTGATAAAAACAGCAACAACAACAACAACAACACACAGACAGCAATTACGGAGACAGACAACAGCAGTTATTGAGGAAATAAATAAATTTTGCAACTATATAATAAGTTATTGATTGTAATATTTTGCGCATTGCTAAACACAATCGTAGCAATTGAAAATCAACAACTGAACCCAAGAAAATCGCATAAATTAAAAGTTTTAATTTGTAAATTTTTTGCTAGATAAGAAATATCTGTTTGTGTTTTTTTTTAGTTTTTTGTTTTTTTTTTTGTAATTAACCATCAATTTAAAACTTACCACACAAAATTTTGTTTCAGTTTTTTAAGTAACTTGTGTTCTTTTTTTGTTTGCCGTTATTTATATAAATAATGCTTTTTTAAATTTTTGTCAAGTGAATATCTTTTATGTATACATATATATATATACTATATATAGGTTTGTTTGTTGAATCTTTGTTTGGTTTTTGTATTTAACTTAACGTTTCGTTCTAGTTCTTGTGGGCAATTTTGCTGTATATATGTATATATATATATATTTGTTGTTTGCTTGCGTTCGGGTTTTGTAATTTGTATTTGTGTTTTATATTTATTTTTTGTTTTGCTTGCTTTTTGTTAGGTTTTGGTTTTATTTTTCTTTTTGTATAGAATTTAGCGTAAATCCATTCAATCTTCTGGAAGATGATAAATAAATGAAGAAATACATGAAGAAAAATAAATATAGTTAAATTTTTTTCATTATTCATAATTGTTATTTGTGTCTAATATTTGAAAAAATTTTGTATTTAAATTGGAGAGTGTGGTGTGTGAATTATTTATCATACTTAATATCTTTTCATTTTTTTTTTTGTTTTTTTTTGTTTTTAAAAGGTCATTGGTGGTTGTGTTTTGGAGGAAAAAGGCGTCTAGTTTGGCCAAAAATATTTCGGGTTCTTACTTATGAAACAAAATGTATATAAATTAAAGAGAAGAAACTTTGAAATTGAAATCAACATTGTAGCGAATTAGATATTATCAAATTATATAGTAAGTATATTGAATTGCAATTGAATAATAAAAATAGTATAGTACTAGCACTGAATTGCAAAGAGTGTTTATCAATAATAAGAATCGGTATTATTTTTAAGTCATACTCAACTTGTTCGAAATTGTTTTGTTTGGTTTTTGGTTTTGTATAAGTTTACTTTTAGTTTATAACTATTTATGGTTTATATAGTAATTTCATTCATTCATACAATTATACATTAAAATCTGCTTTATGCTAATTAAGACAAGAATGGCAACGAAATCATTACACTAAACTTTAGTTTTTGTCCCGTATATGTGATATATGTATTTTGTAATTATATTATTTCATTGTTATTATGATTTTATAATTTCTTATTCATTTGATATAGTTTATAATTAATAATTAAATGCCAGAGCTTTACGACGTTAGTTGTTAGTGACAGAAACGAAGAAAACGAGTTTTACAAAAATTTAATTTACACAAAAGAAAGAAACAGAGCAGAGGAGAAAAAAGAGAATTGTTTGGTTTTTACAGTCGGTTTATACACATTCTTTTGTTTGTATGTATATGACTTTATATTTTTGTTTTGTTTTGTTTTTTTCTTGTATTGGTTTTTTTTAATGGCATGGAAAGAAAAACAATTCTGTGCAGCCAAAAGTTTTATGGTTGCCGTGGTTTGAAAATATAATTGTATAAATAATAAATTAATGGCAAATGGCACAGTTAAAATGTATTAATGTGTGTTAATGTCATATCATTGGCATGGAATGGAAACGAGTGTTGGTAAACAACTAAATATTTGTACCGAGTTGCGTTTTGGGTACAAACTACTTACTATTTTAGTAGCAACAAGAAGGAGGAATTGATTCATAATTTTTCCTTGTGTTTTAGCCAATTATTAGCATTACTCTATGATCTATTCAGATATCTAGTAGCTCGCAGTTATGGGTACAATTTTAACGCATTATTGGCATATTGGCATATTGGGTAGAACACCTTAGCTAACCCAAACCAAAGAAAGTTGTATTGAGCAAGCACCTTAAATATTTATAAGCACTCAGAAGAATAGCAAACTACTTATTACTGACCCATTAAAACTTTGATGGACAAAGACACAGTTTTAAGTTAAGTTAGAAACAATACATATGTATATATGTATATACAATGTATGTATGTATAGATGAGTGCAATTTTTGGCACAAGATGAAAATCAATAGACGTTGCAATGTTCATGTCAATGCTACGTTATGTTAGTTATGTATGCATGGATGTGTTTGTGTTGGAAATGTCGGTGTGGCATGGTTGAATGCATTTAATGGCCACAAAATAGCTCATAAATAGCAACGAGGGATTATCTAAAATGCAGTCGAAATGCAAGCCAATAGCAAACTTTATAGCATTTTCCCCTACTTGTGTGATTTCGATGCAATTGTTTTTATTAATTTTTATAAATTAAGGAGTTGACAGCAATCTGCGATTCAGAACAAATGCTGGAACGTGAAACGGTTGGAAAATGTAGCTGGAAAGTATGCTATATTTTTTAGAATTACATACTTTACCAAAATAAAAGTGTTTCACACCAAGAATGATGAAAGAAGTCACTAATTGTGAGTGAAAATTTAACTTGAACTGTAATAGCTTTCATCTTCAACTTCGGCTTAATTTTAAATAATTGAAAAACCCTTTGAATGTGAATTCTAAACGAAATCATTTAACTGTTAAGTATTTCTTTATTATACTTTTAGTTGATTTGTGATGACCTTTAAATGCAATTTTTATAAAAAATTATCTGAACTATCTGAACTAAAAACATTTCAGTACGAGTACCATTCACATTCCGTCATTTATTACACTTTTCAAAAAATGACAGTAATGGAAGATTTGGATTTGGAATATTTTATACGATCATTATTAAACCGCAAGTAAAATATGGGTGTTCTGTTCGTTTATTTATATAAATCACACAAATAGGCTTAAGAAGAAAAGCCATATAAACACTCTGCGATTTCGTTCTGATATTCGACAACACCTCGCAATTTAAAAAGCTTCAATTTCATTGCCAGAAGAAATCAAAAGAAATTGTTTTGAAATGTTTATAAAATCAACGGATTAAGCTTCTTAAACAACAAACATCAAACATATATGGAGAAGAAAAAAGGTAAACTTATAAAAAATCATATACTATTTATAAGGAACTGAAAACGCTTACCATCATTGCTGGCAAGCGCTTGTTGGGTCATGCTATCAATGCCCAGCTTGCGCATGCCATCTTTAATTTCGGCCAAATCGGTATCATTGGAGGTTTGAAATTCGTCCGAAACGAACTCGGACTCGGAGATCTTGTGGGCAGCTCCATCTTTCGGCCGCTTAGACTCTTTTGTCTCTGCCGCTGACATTTGGGGCTGCTCTGTGGCAACAGCGGCAGCAGCTGCAGCGGCATCTGCCACAATTTTAACTTGGCTATCTTTTTTGGCTTGATTGGCATTGTCTTTGTCTTTTTCTTGCAGATGCTTGGCTGTTGTTTGTTTGTTTTGTATGTTTTTGCAAACATTTTTCGTCATAGTTGAGTTTGAATTGCATTTTTCATTTCATTGTTATTGTTATTTTTGCATATAAATATCGGTGTAATTTGGTGTAAAGAAAATTTATGAAAATAAAACGTAAATAAAACGAAAATCATTGTTTAGCTTACTGAAAATAAAAGTCAACAGTAATAATAAAATATATAGCTATGGTCGGACATACAAATAATTTGCATACAAATTTGTGTTATTTTGTAATTAGTATTTAGAAAAGAAAGTGCCAAAGAATTTGTTTGTTGCATTTTAGTATAGATTTTTAATTGTCTGGATTGAAAACTCTATATTCTTAACATTTTTGTGAATGTTGATATATTTGTGTGCAAAATTGTTTGTCTGTTTGACCATATTCTAATTTAAAAGACAATAATAATAAAATATATAGCTATGGTCGGACATACAAATAATTTGCATACAAATTTGTGTTATTTTGTAATTAGTATTTAGAAAAGAAAGTGCCAAAGAATTTGTTTGTTGCATTTTAGTATAGATTTTTAATTGTCTGGATTGAAAACTCTATATTCTTAACATTTTTGTGAATGTTGATATATTTGTGTGCAAAATTGTTTGTCTGTTTGACCATATTCTAATTTAAAAGACAATTTCTTCAGTACTACACTGAAAAATAAACCCAACAAAATAAAATCGTTAACAATAATTTCCTAGCATTTTAAGAAAATGTATTTTAGAATAATAATTTAAGGTCCCTTGTAATTATAAAAATAATTGAAAGAAAATGTATTTTTAATTGAAATTAAAACAAAAATTATCAAAAATGATTCCTTAAATATTAATATTAAAAATATAATTGTGTAATTTAAAAAAAACTTATTTCGATATTCATACAAAATTAAATCTCAAGAAATTGTTAAAATTAAAGCGAATAAGTGGGAAGGGCGACACAATCTTATCGAGGCGAGTTCGAGAGGTGATTTATAGTAATTGAGTTGAGATTCGATACGCGACTGAGTGAGAACGCTGGTGAGAGAAACCAAAGAGTAACTCGAATCGGCGGTAAAAGCCGGTGAGCAGTTACGGCAATTAAAAAAAAATATATTTATAAGGTTGAGCATATTTTAAGGCGGTGTAGTACAGACGCTAGTCGAATTATTAACGAAAGGAGAGACTAAGCGCGTGTCTTAAAAGGAGGACTACGAGAAGAAACTCAAAAAGAAGAACAGGCGCGTGTGAGAAAAATAAGAAAGGCTTAAAAAACCAAAAACAAAAAGTTATAACTTAAACTTATAGAGAGAGAGAGAGAGAGTTACATAGGTAGAGAGAGTTAAGTTAAAGAGCGCGCGAGTAACGATTGTATGTGTATGTGTGTGTGTTTGAAGGAGCTTGAGAGAATTAATAGCCAGAGAGAGGGAAATTGAGAGAGACAGAGACAGAGATAGTGGCAAGCGCAAGAAAATAATAAAGGTAGTTGTTCTATTTTCTCTTTTTAATATTTAATTGCGGCAGCGGCGGCGAACAATATTTGGCTGTTTTTTTGGGGGGCTTTTGGGGGCGTTTTTTAGGGAGGGATGCGAAAGGGGGTGAGAAAGACGAACTCAAACGAACTTACCATCTTCACCGCTTGAGGCCTGACCCACACCATCGGCACCCAGAGTGCCAAGTTCAGCGGCCTGTATGATGAGCGAAACGCGATAGAAATAATTTCGCCAGAAGTTCTCCTCAGTAATGCTATTATATGTTTGGATGAATGAAAAAAGCATTATTTTAACCCGTTAATTGATGGGGTGAAATAACTCACATCTTGGGCACCAATTCGAAGCGCATAGTTTCGAGCGCCTTATCCTCGGCCATAATGGCTATGGCTGTGGGATATGCCGTGTCATAGCTGAAGTCAAAGTCCACGCCAGCGGGTGGTGCGCGTACAAAGTTGCGACGATCCTGTGACAAACCCAATATCTCCTCCTTAATCTTGGCCTCATTGGCATGTCCGATCCAGGGTGCTGCACCATTGCCGCCAATACCGCCCTGACCCTTAATAAAGGCCTCCTGCTCCTTGTTGAACGAGTCGAGTATGGTCTATCGAATGAGAGGAAAGTCACAACGTGTTTGCTCCTTTCTGATGATATACTCACATTATCCTTGACTGTTTCCTTGATTTTGGTGCCAGCCTTGCTAATGGCCGATGACAAGAAGGAGCCAAAGTGTTTGGCCTGTTGTGTTACTTTTGTGGTAACTGTCAGATACATAAATGGAATTAGTTTCGGAAAATTCACAGAGCGTTACTCTCAAATGGAGAAACAAATGGGTTGCAGACAAACACTAAACTACAAAGAAGTAAACTGGTTGAGGGTTATGCTAGGCAAATAAAATGGGGAGTTACGAAATTTACAAAAACTCGCTACTGGTTTCAACTACTAAGTAGTAACCTGTCACTGCTTATACGCTTTGCGTTTCTTCTTTTTGTTTCGTTTAGTTTCAAATTGATTTTAATTTGGCGAATGCAATGTTTGTTTCAGAGTTGCATCGTTAAGTTAAATCGATATTTTAGTTCTTGTTTCTTTTCTTTTTTTTATATTTTTGTTACCAATTCGTTTACTGTGACACGTACTTTTTACTTCATCGCCCTTACCCTGTCCAATCTGACCCTCATCGCCTGTGGGCGTGCCGCCACCAGATGCTGGATGCGAATCGGCACCCTCTGTAGCGCTGTAATTAAAAATATGCCGTACCGTGCAAAAAATAAAAAATTAAAAAAAAACGAGAGAGGAAGAGAGAGAGAAAACTGTGTGTAAGTTTTCAGCTTTTGTGAATGCGTCGAGTGTTCTTATTTGTTGATTCGCTGCCGGTGAAGATGGTGGATAACTATGTAAATGCGACATGCCAAATGCTAATTAATTATACTTGCAAACATACACATACATATATGCTTAGTAGGTGGGGAGATAAATAAATAAAGCAAGCAATTTCTACATACATTTCTTCAAAAACTAAGCAGCAAGCTAAAGTGGGATACACAATTACAAGGTTTCTAACAGAAGTCAAGTTCTGATTGAATAAGTATAAGCCAGACTGTCTATACCTTTTACTATACCCTCCACATGAAATTTACAACTTACAGTTAATTTAAAACTTTTCACGATCCGTTTCTTTATAAGGGCATTATTCAAATGAAATTTCTATACGTTGTGAATGAATTGCTTGTGTCTCAGTCTTTAAGAATATTGGAATTTAAAAATTTTTAAATATATATTTTCCCATTTAATTGCTTGATTAATTAAAGAAGACTTTGTCTTTGCCTTTCTTGTCTTAAGTTGCCAATTTCCATCCTAATATCATTAAGTTGAAGAAATAATTAAAAAATCTATTTGCAGTCAGTCGCAAATACTTTTCTAAACAAAACAATTGTTATTGAGAATTTAAAAATATTTGAAATAATTCTATGTTGAGTATAGAAAATAGTTAACTGATATCCTTAATTCATTAATTTTGTTTAAAAATTAAACCCAATTGACGAGTTTCAAAAGTTAATTTTTTCAAGCAAATTCTTTCGAAACACTCTTCTTGACGTTCTCACCAAGCTAAGTTGGCTCCTTAGTTTTATCTAACTTTTCAGCCAACTCTCCCTCCAGCTTTAAGTTGTTTATGGTCAGTTAATTGCAGGCTTTAAACTATTAAGAAAATTAAATACGAAAATTAGCAAGGAAGAATTATACCGGTCTTATTAAGGAAACGCGTAGTTTTTTAATGAAGCATAATAAATCTTTAGTTGAAATAATATTACAGATTATTATTAAATAAACGTAGCCAATTTTTTAAGGTAAATACACCTTTCTCTTTCCTAATATGGTACCAGCATGTGTAGAAAGAAATTTCATGCACAAAAAATACAGTTCTGGTCCCCTTTTGCGAATTCGACAAAACTGATGTTGGGAAAATGAAAGGGTTTCAAAAATTGTTTCATGGTCAGACATGCAACTAATATGCAACAAACATTTTTCTTAGACTTTAAAGAGTAAGTTGCAATTGTAATTTTTGCAATAAACTTTAAATAAATAGAGAATTCATATTGGTTTTGATTTAAATAGCATTATATTTATGTATTTTTGTTATTCTACAAATTCTTTGTTTGTCTGACCATATTTCAAAGTTTGCTTTCTACTTTTTAAGCAGATACATTCAAACCATTGTTGCAACTTGTCAATTTTGATTCGAAAAGGGAACTTCCATTATATTAAATTTTTTATACTTATACTAGCATGTAAATAACTAAATAAAGTCATGCATTTCCTAAAACCCTTTGTCTTAATTAGGCTTATGCAGCCGATAACCCACAACGTTGATGTATATTTACAGGTCTTTTTGTCTTTATACATTTAATATTAAGATCATTTGCTGATTGTAATGCGTTGGTTGACTTTATATGAAACGTATTATGAAGTATGGCATAAAAAAATGAAATATTAAAATAACAAAAACTGAAAACACAAAAACTCTTCAGCACTATTACATGCACTAACTAGCATGTTTATAAAGTATTTTCAATTAAATTTTCCTTAAAATTAGCGAATAGTATGTTTGGAGATATCACAGTCAAAAGAAGATCAGAGTAGAGCGCACATTGAGGAACTGCCAGAGAGAGGCTGGAAAGTTTTTCAAATCACACACTGTTCTACGAGGCAAATGAAAATTAAATCAAATCAAAAAGTTAAAACAGCGATTAATCGACTTAATCTACAATCACACATCGTACAGCGAAATCAATGGTAAAAACAAATTATTAACAATTGATGATCAAAAAAATAAAACCAACTACCAACAACAATAAGTTATGTTTTTTTTTGTTTTTGTATCTACTACGTAGTCACAGATAATGTCCAGCCAGTTTGCTTGGTTAGTCCTTGATCTGGTTTGATGGGCCGCTCAAAAATGATGGAATCGAATACTTGTGGAAAATTATGTTTTAACTTCTAAATGCTGTTTGCTTATTAAAAAATCGCGTACAAATTTAATTAATTAGATGAGAAAATAGTAAATGTTTTGTGGGAACAATAATGATAAAATAGAGTACAGAAAACATATATAGAAATGAAAATACAGTTTGGCCTAAAAATAAGTTAAATATGAGCTTTTACTTTCTGATGAGCGAAATGGGGCTTATGTTGAATGTTTAATGATGTTTTGATTTACCGTTTTATTTTTAATATATTATATAAGAATATATATATTTTGAGAAATACTTAGTAAACATTTATCAAAAGTTTGTTCCGCTCAAGTGTTTTTGTTTTGCATTCTTCGTTCTCATTAAAAAGAATGGTTTTTTGTTTCAACGCTTACAAGTAAAGTTGGCAGCACTTACCCAAAGCATAAATTAATATTATTTAATTTTTAATTTGTTATAAATTAAAATTTTTCTTTAAATATTATCTTTGTTGTTGTTGCATGAATAAGCTACAATTGGATTCTCACTATTTTTAATAATTTTCAGATCGGCCCTGCCAACTTGCTAAACTATCTAACAAAACTACAGTTAGGTTAATAGACGGGAGAAGAATACTCTTCTGAACTTGTCTCTAAACTGGCAGTGTAAGGAGACAGAAGAGTGAGTGGGATATATAAAATTATATAATGAAATACCAATACTCTTGCTTTTTCCTTACTTACTTGATTTAAAGTAAAGTGTACAATTTTCTAGCTTTAATGGTGATATAAATAAAGTATTGGGTTTAAATGCTAATTGAAGTATTTAATGAAGTTTGATTAATGAAGACATTATCGAATGATTGACTTTTTAAATGAATGAGTTATTCTTGGAATGCATGAATGAAGGAAAATAAAATTAAACCTTAAAATACTGAAATTGAAATTGTAACTCTCTTAGATTTTGCAGAAAATATTGAATATATTGAAATAAGAAAGACTTATAATATAAATTGCAATATATTTTAAAACGCTAACCTTTTTGCATACACTTTAAAAATTGCATTCAAAAGAGGATGTGAAAACGAAACTAACTTTTTATTTTATAGCCAGAGACCGTATCTAAAGTTGGCTATCAAATAAATAAACAAACTTTTATTAACTGACTAACAAAGGTAAGAACTTGGGGCTTCTTACTAACTACGGAAACGTGAGAAAACGAGTCTGAGATTATTGAAAATACTAAACAAATGCAAGTAAAATAGTTTCGATACATTCCTGAACCAAATTTGTAATGCGAAATGTTATGTAATTGTATGAACTGAAAATTGTCGTTGAAATGGAACAAACTTTTGACGAAATGGATCTTACAATTCTCAATTAAGAATCGCTTTCATTATTTGTTGTTATTGTTTATATACAAAAACGTTAAAAGTTATAGTTTTGATAGCAGTAAGTAGAAAGTGGGTTTATGTTTTGTACAGTATAGTATTAAGATATATTTAAGGTGAAATTTGTAATTAGCACAAGAAGAAATGTGTGAAAAGAACTCGAGAGTACGTAAGCAAAGAAATCGAAATATTATAATAAGTCTAGAGATTAATAAAGCGAATTTTGCAAATATTTTACGCAAACCAAATGCCAATATGTATGTATGTTGTTGTTCTTGTTATAAGTATGTGTTAAAAATATATATGCACATTGTTGTGTAGAATAGTAGGTCTCAGCATAAATTGTGAGTAAAAGCCTAAAGAGTAAAAGCTTTTGTGTTGTTTGGCCAAAAAATAAATCGGAAAATTACTCATATTTTTTTTTTTTTTTAATATAGTATGTGTGGAGGAGAGTAGAAGTAGAAGAAGGGAAAAGAGTAAACTTATAACAATAGCCGCCAAAAAGTAAGCAAGTTTTGAGGGCACACTTCTAAGGAATAATTTTGTTGAGGCCAGCGGTTTGGTTCAACTTTTCAAAGCAAAACTTTAACAAATTAAAAACCAAGTAAGTATTTAGTTGGGGGGAAGACAATAAAAATAAAATCAAAGTTAAATTACAGACGCGTTCTCATTGAATTATTAGTTTGCTGCTGCTGGCAACGTTGCATATAAGTAGTATAGAATATACTCGTAATTCCGTCATTCTTAAGCTGGGGCCCATACCTAATATACCTCGACTTGTCATCATCTTCGACACCGATTGGGGCGCCGCCCGCAGCTGTAACATCTCCGGGTATGCCTTCCGCACCCTCGGCGCCCTCGCCGGCACCGGTCTTGCGCAGACCCGGTATCGAAGGTATCGATGGCATCGCTGGCATGGCTGGCATCGAGGGCATGGATGGCATCGATGGCATAGCCGGCATCGATGGTATCGAGGCAGAGGCATTGCCTAGCCAGCCCTTAGCGCTGCCCAACCAACCGCTAAAAATGAAGAGAAATAAAGAAAAGGCATTAGCTTTATCAACGAGCGGCACAGATATGCTTATATCTAATGGCATAAATCATTCAATAAATTGACTGATTGACTGACTGCCAGACTGACAATCAATCTCGGCACTAATTTGACAATGTTCATGGCTCTGCTGTTCATGTGACAGGCATGACTGATAAAAATCTATAATGTATTATGCCAAACAATGCGGGTGGATGCCTCTTCTTCTAACCTACTTGACATCCTCTATTCTGCCTATATATGTAGCATAACCATATGTGTGAGTTGGGGCTGTGCGTGCTTTGATAGCAACGCGATTTATTGAATGAGCTTCTAGTATCGTCTATTTGGTTGCAAGGCATTGAAAACTCATATGCTTTAACATTTTTGTCAAACTCTTCAACAAACTGATATTTTTAGTATTTTTGTAAATTTAACAAAATTTCTTTTCCTGTTCTACAAATGGATAGACCTCATGATATGTGCGCTGTTTGTCTGAACAGGAAACGCAACAAGGTCAGCATACAATGTAAACACAGCTTTTGCAAGCGATGCCTGCAAAAGGTCTATGATATAAGTCCTTCCAAGAGTTGTCCACTTTGTCGTGCGCCTTTCGAATATTATATTGTAAGTATGTGTTATGTGCAAAGCCATAATTTGTAAAGCAGCCAACTAGGAACTGTTTACATAGTTTTTGAAAAGTGAAAAAGGTGTGTTCACACTTTAAAACATTAGCTATTGAAAGAGACGATCATATACCATCGATTATATGAAGTTTTTTCTTAATATTTATACAGCTTATAGCATTAACATCTACTGTCTATTGTTAAATGTTTACAATAGGCGCCTTCACACCAGATTATGGCTGCCTAATTGTTTAAACATATTGAAATATGTTCACGCCTTAATGCTGAATACTTCTGCTTAATGAAATAAACATCGGCCATCAAACAGCTGTTCTTTGCTTTCCTTGGGAATAAAGTGGAACTGATTAAGAATATTAAAATTATTAAAAATATTAATACAATCGTATATTAAAATTGTTATACAATCTTTAAGAGCTGTGCCTTCACTGAACACCAAACTATAAATTGTATATAATAATTAAGGTATATAAGTTGTTAGTTACATACTATTATGTATATTAAATTATTATATTGAATATTTATTATCTTATCTCGACGCAGTTAAAAAGCCTTTTTAAGGACCCAAATTAAATAGAAACATGTATATAAATTTAGAAAAGTACTAGAGCCTTTCAATTTAAAAAATTGTATTTATATTTTAAATGGAATTATTTGTTAAACGGTTTATATTAAATATGGAAAAGGCTTTAATCTTTAAGCTCTGCATTAACCTTAATTGCAGATCAAAATAAAATAATATTTTAATTAATCATTTGTGGCAACCAAGAGGTTATAAATTAATAATATACTGAAGTTGCCAGTCTACGTAAAGTTGTTACATATTGTAAATGTTTTTATCTATAGATCTATAAAATCTATATCTACAAAGCTCTTATTAAAGACTTTCTAACTATGTATGTAGTTGGCTGCTTATAATGTATTTTATGTCTCTCTGAAGGAAATATTAGTTGAAATAAAATATACAGTAAACATATTAATATACAAACAAAATCGTCACCATAACTTTTTAGCATATAACGCCATCAATTATATGATATAAAGAGTTTTTGTATAAAGATATATTTGCGTCATCTGATATTTTCTTGTGTAAACGAAGCTAACAAAATAATAAACCAGTTCACAACCTCCCCCCAGCGTGAGCGTGGTTCGGGCACAAAAATCGTATTTTTCTCCTAATGGGAAAACCTGATATTTTGATATTTTATACCAAGATGAAGAAACAATTTTCTTCAAAATGCATTCTCTGTTTTGTGGATTATTCAGACAAATTTCATCGTTTATTGTTATAGTTGTTTATAAAGTTTTTTTTTTTTTAATTTAATAAAATTTGTTCGTTGATGTTACTTAAAGCTGAAGGATATTTTATATTCAATACAAGTGAATCAGTCGAAGGTCCCGTCTGACTGCCATATCAAATATTCGAAAAAAAAGAAAGGCAAATGGAAAAGGGGGAAAGGAGAAGCATCGAGGGATCTCCCGCCATCGGTTGTGCATGCAAAATGATGAGCCTTAAAAGGGGAAATGAAATAGAATTGACAAGCAAAGGATTTCTAGCTCGACATCCTTGCATGGCTGCGTTGTCGTCCCCTTTATATATTCCTTTATTGACATGGCAAGGACACAAGCTGCATTGCATTATTGATGCTCACAATGGCTTTGGCACTTTTGTAGTGCATTGCCAGCGATTTATACATATATAGTACAAGTATATATACATTTTTATAAGTATATACAAGTATATGTGTACGAGTATAGTTCGCATTACGCATTGAAGTGGCAAGGCCTTAGCCAAAGCCGTAATAGTGGCAGTAGTTGGCCAAACTAATTCAACTTGCCATAAAGTGTGTGGCAAGTTAATTTGATTGCAACTTTTTCAGTCCACCGCTCAGCTCAGCTCAGCGCTTCTGATTTATATGGCAACATTTTTAAATTACATTTCCAGCGCGTAATTATTTTTGCCGCTGGCCCACGCGTTGCGACGCAATGGGACACAAATGTGTGTATGTGTGTGTGTGTGTGTGGGTGAGCATAAATTTAGTTGCTTGCAACATTTCTATACACTACACAGCACAAAGTGAAACAAATTTAAAGAATGTTAGTAATGAAATGACTACAAAAATAATACTATCCTGGTTTCATTCAGAATGTTACAGTCGAGTAAGCCCGAAAATTAAATACCCTTTACCCAAAAAAAAATCCGCTGTTGTGTTATAACATAGAAGAAGCAGCTGGAGCTTTAGGGCGCATTAACCTAGATTCGAATTGCACGATTTGGGTGAGATTTCAACAAGTTGTAGAGAATTACACATATTTGCAAAGTGATGTTTTGGAATTCTTTATAAAGAGTATTGACAAATTTCTTAGCGGAAATCAAATCAAAACAAAATTATAAATTCATTTTATCTAGGGACTGGGAGAACCTTCATTTCAAGATTGGCCAATGTGGGCTCAGCTGTTTCCAAAAACCAGGCTTCCTTCCAGACATACGGATGAACGGACGGAGAACGGACATGTTTTGATTGATTTGTCTAGACTTGCTGATTAAGAGTATATACACTTAATAGGGTCGGAGATGCTTACTTCCGCCCCTTTTGTCCCATTTTGACTTTTGGGTACAGGCTTTAAGAAAAACAAGTACAGGTTTCACAAACAATTTTTTTAAATGTAATTTTGCAGGATTTTTATAAACCATACATTTCATTTCATAAAGTTTAATTTATTCTCCTTTTCCGTTAATATTATCAGAAGTTATTAGACAGTTTTATATTGAAATATGGGCTAAAGTTCTAATAAATTAAACAATCTTTTAAACAGTTAAATAAGCGTGTCAGGCTTAGTCAGAAAACTAAAAGTTTTGCGCAAAAGTTTTGGCGGTTAGTTTTTCTTTTTAATACATTTGTTTTATTTTTCACCAGAAGAGTGGCCTGGGGCAGCAAAACGAAAATCTGGTGCCTAAAAGCATGCTGTATTTAATTTCAATTGTGTTTTATTTTCATGCAAAGCATACACGTTTCATCACAACAATAGAACTGTGAACCGTGCAGTGAGAAGGAGGCTGAAGAGGTCACAAGCTGCTCATCTTGCCAATAGATTTATATAAAGTATAAACAATTAATAAATAAATGAAATAATTAATTAAATAAGACTAAACTCCTAGCTTAAGCTGTATTTGTATTTTTCTATAAGTTTAAGTTATTGTAAATAGTAACAGTATAAAGTTTTAAATTTCCGGTTAAAACAGCTTAATAAATAATAAAAATGATCGAATTAAATATATTTGTATGCAGTGTATATTGGGGTCATTCAGTGCCGGCAGTCTCTAGAGTACATTTTTCTCTTTTTCGAAGTACTCGTACAATCCCATTCATTCCATTGCCTGCACTTAATTGGTAATGCGTTTCGCTGTCGACGCAGACGCCAAGTTGGCCAACAGTCTCGTTGACTGGCTGACGGGCCAGTTGACAGTCTGCTGCCTTCTGGCTGGCTGGCAGGCGGGCTGGCAGACTGGTTGGTTGGTTAGTTGGTTGACGGCTCCATTATAAATTACGAGTCCTTTGTTTTTGCACTGCATGTGCCCCAACCTAATTAATTTACTTGTTATGACCAAGGCATATGCTGGCGCATTCTTATTAACCATACGTCATGCTCTATGTGGAGGCCAATTTGTAAATCAAATTTTTATTCCACTTTATAATGAAATGAACGATGCATAATAAGGAACTTTTTTAGCTGCACTTGGACACGCAAATTATTTGCAGAACATTTTTTCTCAACAAACTTGGTATCGAATTTAAATAATGAACATTCTGAGAAAGCCCCTTTTAAGCTTGATAGTCAGGTAATGCTGTTCTGAACATTTCAAGTCAGTGATTCATTTGCAGATTGTTTGTATTTGGAATGCATTCAGAACTTAAAAGTGTTTTTTCAAAGCTATTTTCTACAATTTTAAAAAATGAATAGCAAGAAGGTTAAGCTTTGCTGGTTTCCAGCCTACTTTGGGAATTCCTGGGAAAAAATTCGTTGACGAGCTGGCACGAGTAACCCTTGGACTTGGCTGGTTAATGCTTTGGTAGGTAAATGGACTGACCTACAACGGAGTAGCTTTTAGAATAGACTACTAGAACTACTCGAACATAAAGCGACTTCTTGGCAAATTAAAAGCTGAGGATATTCTCCAGAGCATTAGGTTGCTTACCACGTAGCAGTTTTGGCAGTTTGCGCACAAATCATTTAGTGGTCCCACGGACTTTAAACAATATGCTCTTTTTTGTTTTTTCAAATGTTTCCAATTTTTGATATTGAAAACTAATTTCTTGTTTTTTCAGAGTTAATAATTTATTTCATTAAGACCCCTAGCAGATAAATTCTTAACATTTTAAAGTGTGTAATTTTAGTAGCAAGCTCAGGCAAATAATTCGCTGATCTGAACGGCTGGAATAAATTTGTTCTTGGGTATAGCTTGTATTTATAAGTATTTTCTCACATTTACAACGCCCACCAAAACAGTGCCGGGCGCTTAAGTGGCTCGTCACATTTCTTTGTGCGTGATTTATGCGTTCCTGGGCCTCGCATTTAGGCAGTTTTGTGCGCGTTGACAGGCGACGGCTGGACGTAAGGACAATGGCAATGGCAATGGTTTTGTTTTGTTTTATTTTAGTATATTTTTTATTTATGAGCACCAAGGCGCTAAGGCCATTATGCATAGTACAAGTTAAGACGCCCGATAGTAGTGTTTGTGTTAAGATAAATGCCGTGCACTTAAAGGCTGTCGAGTGGTTGGCATTTAAAGCCCAAAAGTATGCTCAAGCAGCCGCAACAACAACAACGGACCGCTGGCTGGGACTTTGTGGTTCGTGCTGGGAACTCTTCATTAGCTTGTCAGACATAGAGATATACCTTCATACGAGTATACTATACATACATATGTGCACACCACGCATGTTTTACCCAAAATTTCATATCGACGACAAGCTTCTTGTTAATGACGTTGTTGTTGTTGCGTTTCATACTGCAGCAGCAAAGTTTTAATTATAAAAGTTTTTTGGCAACCCCGAGCGCGCATAGCAAAACAAGTGAGTACCGCAGTAAAAAAATAATATTGAAAACAGAAAAAACCAAAAGAATATATAGACACAAGCATGTCATGACATTTGAACAATAAATTGAAATGAGCTCGCGCTGATGCTTTGGGGTTATAATAAAAGTTTAAAAGAAAAGCAGCCGAATGAATGCAAGAAGGAAGCGACCACCAACTGAGAATTGAATTTTATGCTTAAGTGGGAGAGCGGAAGCAGAAACTTCCTTTTAAAGCGCCTCCAGCAACCAAATTCAATTCATAAAGAATTCAAAGAAGGTTCCTAGATGGTGGGTATCTAGCAGAAAAAGTGAAAAACTGTATATGACAGGCTAGCCGTTCAAAGACAAGCAAAAAGGCTGCGCAAAATGTACAAAGATGTACAGAGTTGAAAGGCTAATATAGCCGAGAATATATAGTATTTTGCCTTTTTTGAAGTGGAAAAAGTGCTTCCAAAAATGTTTGGAGCGAATGCAAAAGTTAATTAATTCGCATGGAGATGATTTTGGAAAAGAATTTATGCATTTTCAATTTAGAAATCTATATTTTTGTTCTCTATTCTCGAAACAGCCCGTGTGTCCGACGATGCGTATTATGCATTCGCAATGATATAGCATGATAGTTGCAAATGCTAATTGCCATTGCAAGTTGCAAAAAAATGCAGACACACATGACAAAACATTTGTTGGTCGTCTACGGTAATGGCACTTATTCAAATTGAGGGCCGTGGCAATTACAAGTGCAACTGCAACTGCAGTTGGATTGGATGGAATTGGTTGCAGGCAGGCGGGCAGTCTGGCAGGCTGGGAGGTAACAAGAGTTGTTGTCGAGTGTCGCGACAAGTGAGTGACGTTTGGCGCATGTGAATGGCCAAAAGGGCGTCACAAAATCCCACTACGCACTGAAGCGAAAATTGCATTGTCAGCGAAGCCGAAGCTCAACGCTTAGGATGGTGTTTCCAATGCCCCATTTTTTTTTATCGCATGCTACAACCATTGCCTTTTTTATGGCGCATAATGCACACAATGACAGTTGATAGAGACAATAACACACATATACATACACACACACACACACTCACGTGCAATTGCACTGAGAAAAATTGATTATTATTACTATATATTTTTAAAAAATGAATATTAATTGATTTTGAAAGTATTTCTACTTTTAAAATTTATTAGAAACGTTTTT